AGTTAGGTCTTACTGGCGTCGCGTCTGTAAAGAAAAGGTTCAAAAAGGCTCAGTTCTCTGAAACGGGCGAACTGAAAAACAAAATCAAGCAACAATGTTGCACATATTTCTAATCTCTCTTTACATAATGTTAAGTAACTCTAGCTGGAGGAGAGTAGGCCTGAACTTTGACAATTTTGTTTTCATCGACAACAACAAAAAATTCTTACCTCATTTCTGTTTCTTTTATAACTTAATGTATTTGTACTGAGCCTTAAGCCCTGTAAAAAGTAGTTTATCTCAATCTTTTATTAAAATAGCCCTTAACAGAACTAAATAGAGCTTTTGTTGGCTATTTTCAGCTGCTTGAGACATGTTTGCTCATGTAATTATTTACAGCAGCAGGACTGTATGTGACTAATAAAAGAGAAAACCACCATACCCAAGTTCCTCATGATACGGGAACACATCACCCCATGCAAACATGTCAGTCAATGATTTGATGAATTATCAATGGCACAGAGGAGTAAGATATGTCTGGATTTGGATAAACAGGGTTGATTTATTGTTGGTTTTGGCCATTTAAGTTTGGGAATTTAAAACATTGTCAGACAGAAATTAAAAGCACAGGATGGTACCACAGTTAAATCACTGTAACCGCCTCTGGTTTCATACTGGTAATTATGCTTACATATGAGAAGTTATTGTTTGGGATAATGGATTTTTTGGCAGCAATATAACGGGCCATGTACATCAAAGTGAAATATCTTGGTATGAATAATATAGTTTATATTGCGTTACGCATACTTTCAATTTGTGTGAATCATAGAGCTTCTTTGTAGAAGGAGGATAAACGCAAACCATACTCACTTATTTCCTCCCTCCAAAACACAATGTTTCACACACACACACACACACACACACACACACACACACACACACACACAGCACAGCCGCTCTGTGCGTGTCTCTGTCACACAACGTAAACCAATTGCAAAGCCAATGCGGCCCACGCGCCACGCCACTCACTCCATCCACACCTGTGACACATGGACCCATAACAACCCGCGAGCTCTGAAACACACAGAGAGTCAGAACGTACATCCTCACCCCCGTCACCCCCAATCCCCCTACTATGACCCTCCCCTCCCTGCCTGCAGCTATTCTGAGAAATACCTCATTTTCATTTCAATCTTCTGCGCGATATAGAACATGGCTGCTGCGACTCTTTCACCTAGTCGAGCACACACGAGAGACGGGCTTCAAAGGGGGGGGGGGGGCGGGGGGGGGAGACTACTGTCATGATGAAAGGCCAAGTCAATCTATTTGCATTCAAGGGGGGAGAGAGAGAGGTGGATCTATTTTTGGCGTCTTGGCGCATGAGTAGAAAGCGGCAGGTGGAGGCTACAGGTGTGACACAGGAGCCGTGATCTACATGCGCGTCATAATCTCCTACGTAAGAAAAGGAGCAGCTGCGTTATTTCAATGCTGCACCTTTTCTGGGGATGTCGGCTCGCACAGTGGGATGTGAGAAGGTAATAATAAAACAGATTCTTTCTTAATCCTGTTACAAATCCTAGTGGTGGAGGAACACGGCTCTCATACCTTCTGAGGAAATCCAATAGGTGATGACACATTTATTTATTACAATTTACTATTTATTTATAACCATTTATGACCCCAAAACCTCCTCTGCACATTGTGAACTCTCAGCAGATAAAGAAGAGTATCAGCATCAGTGTTGTGGTCAATAAACGAGAGGGAGCTCCTCCATTTTTTGTAGCTTTTCAATTTCTTTTATAAAACTTCAATTGCAGACTTGTGATTGTGCGCCGCCCTCAACCGACCCATGTCTGTCCCAAAGGTAATCACTTCTTTCGATTTCGTTAACTTCTAAAATCCCAACTGTGTTATATCATCATGAGACACATGGTGCAGCAACATGCTGGGTTCATGGTGTTTATGGTGCAAATAGCTTCCCTGTGGGCTTTATTATTTTTTTCATTCTTTTAATCATTTATTTAATTAACCATTGCATACGTTCAATCACATTTTTAATGCGTGAACATTATTTCTTAAACATTTTACATCTTCAATGTTTTATCTTTTATGTGAAGTCACCGATGCAATTAGCTATCAGCTGCAATGAAATCCCAACTATTTAATATATCAATCCCCACTATGGATCCAGACATTTCCATGTCTCCAGTTTGTAACACAGGATTTGTATTGAGCGGAGAGGCCTAAGTGATTCATTTTCTAATTCCAATCATTTTGGCATTCTTTACAAAGCCGTTCGCTTGCCACACAAAACATTTTACAGATGACAATTTTACAACAATTGTACAGGATGTGCAGTCCCTACTAAATTGACTTTAATGGGTAAAATCTGCTGCTCCTTTAATGCATTTCTCATGGATCTATCTATGTAATACAATATAACAGAGCCTTTTACTGCAATCTGTTTCGCTCTAAAACGATCTCTTGGAATTCACGTTGGAGTTAAATGGCTTAAAGCATTCGAACGGAACATAAAATATGTAAAATCGGTGCGTGAAATGATAAATAACGACACGTATCCAAACTAGAAATGGGTATTAAATTCCCAACGGCAGTGCAGCATGTCATCAGACACTGTGATGGATCCGCCAGCTGACTCTACCCCTGCAAGGCCCATTAACACCTCCGGAGGGTGGAGCCCAGCCCCCTCCATAAACAACCAGCCGGAGGTCCGTCCTAATGGGCTGAGCTCATTCCCAGTCTGGCCTGCTCCAGGTGTGGAAGCAGGGCCCTGTAATTGATAATTACGGGGCGATGGGCCGGCGCTCGCTGCGTGCCTCGTGACAGGAGGGCAGCCGGGCCTCACACCGCCTGTCAGTGCGGAGGAAACGAGAGGATTGGGGTGGAGGAGGCCGCTCATTCAACAAGGTAGGGGAGAGGGAGGAGTGGAAGGGGGGGAGGGGGGGGGGGGGTTGAGGAATGGGTTCCTGTACAAACAGGCAGGTTTTTAATGGGGGAAGCTCATGGTAAGACTGAAAGAGCACAAAAGTGCCTCGCAAAGGCCCCCCGAAGGCCACTTACGTCTACTGAACCACAGTGGCTGGGGGCCTCGGGGAGCTGCAACTCGCCGCTGACAACAGGGCGGCCACTTGTTCCTCGCACACGTTGTATGAAGACCGTTAAACCGCAGCCCTAATCGATCACGATGAGTTTCTACAACAGCAAAAAAAACGCTCTAACCCAACCCTGAGTAGAAATAAACACCTCTGAAGAGCAGCAGACTTAGCAACAGTGCAATAGAGTCTTTATGGTTTTCACGGGATCAACGCGTCGCTCCGCCATGCAAATGTACGGTCATTTCATTTCACCCGCAGATGCAAACGACAGCAGTCACTCAAAAGATTTGAGTAATGAGGAGGGGCCTTTTATTCATTTATGTATTTATTGTAATTTTCCCTTTATCTTGGTTTTACGCTTCAGCAACGCATTAGCCCTCATTGGTGCTATCACCGAGGGGCTAATGGGTCCTAATTGGAGGCAGGCAGACCCCCTTGTCAATGGCAGCGGGGGTCTCTGGAAAGCAGAACAATCATAGTTTAGTGTATTGCTGCCAAAGGATTGGGTTCATTGGGAGCATTTCTCCCTGTGAGATCTAGAGGCACCGGTGATGATAGTTTCAAACTCCTTCTCCCAAAGAAAACCTGCAACACTGACGACGTCAGTAAAATAGTGTGAGGTTAAAACACAGAGACGAGAAAGAGATGATAAGAGAGCAATAATATTCCCAACCGCTTGGACGGTATTTGCCAAAAAAAACATCCTGTAACACGTATGTTTGGGTTGTTTTTTTTCAACTGGGAACAAGAGACTGAAACCAGACAACCTGTCGTCCACAGCCGTTCCCCTAGAGTCTTTCTCTCTCTCTCAAGGTGGCAGCCCCCTGATGGACGTATCTGATGTTATCTCCACAGCTGTGTCCGTCAGTTGATCGCTGAGCCGTCACACACACACACACACACACACACACACACACACACACACACACACACACACACACACACACACACACACACACACACACACACACACACACACACACACACACACTATCAAGCAGCCACAACAAACAGCAGAGGCTGATAAGACTGTGGGCTTAACTATGGGATGCACACCAGGTCTGCTTGCCGCATTTTCTCATGGGAGGCCTTTTTTTTTTTTGTCAGAAAACTGGAATGGAAATCCCCCGTGAGGAAGAATTCACGCCTCATATTTTTCATCTTTGCCGAGTTAAAGGAAGGCAGACTACAAACAACCAGTTTGTCTGCACCGGCTGCTTCGGGCAGCACGTGTGTCGTGCTTTAGATTGGAGAAAAGCTCTTTGAGGGGTTTAGAAATATATCATCTAACTACAACTGTACTAGAATGTATGAAGGTATAGTTTATTTTTTTAAGTAGCACACAAATTCTGTTTTCTCCCATTCAGCAGCTGCAAGAAGAAAAAAAAATTTCTTTGCATCTGCCCTTAAAGCATCGAGCTCTTCAGTCACATGAATTATGAATTGGGTTTATTACTCAATATTGCGTTCTTTAGGAGGCGTACATATGGCCGTAACATGAACATGAGTTTGCCTTCATGAACAAATATTTTGTTGTCGTTAAATTTACAGTTAAATGCATCATCAGATGCATCGTATTCATGTAACAAATGGTGATGTTATCCAGAAATTTTGATTGTATACGAAGACGGGATTAAAATCATACTTTTCCCCCATTTAATTCATTTTAATTCACTCAATAATGGTGACAGAAGGCTGAATTTTGGATTCATAGTCCGTAACTTTTTTCAAAAGGAAACCAGAAATATGCAAATAAGCCTTGTGGTTGAAAATCTATTCCTATTCCAAACTAATAGTATTATGGTAATATTTTCGGTATGAATACATTTGGTTTCGTAAATTACTCCTTCTATATTCATAATGTCCCCTGTGTTTACTTCATTAATTAGAAAACAATACACAGAGTTTATGCTATAACATGAGCGGTATTTAATGACCGAACATACTGGTGGTGCCTCTGTAAATCCAGCATTCTTTTACTCAGAATCAGATCACAATCACAAGTTATTAACTGTCAAAAAGCCTTCAATTCAACGCTTGCTCATATATTGTTCAGTAAATCATTTTCAAGACCTGCTTTTCGAAAGTACATCTGTGTTTTTAATACCAATAATAAGAATAGCATTCTTCTCTGAGGTGTGTACAGTGATTTACCAACATACCGTAGAGATCAACAGCGACATTGTACATTCAGTGATGGTCAAAGCCCCTTGAACAAGGAGCGGATGTTGATATCGTGACATACGGTGTCTGTAGACAATGTGATTTCAATGAGGATTTGGGGGGGAAAAAAAACAAGAAAAAAAACTCACCCACACAGTTTTGATTACTTTCCCATCGTGCATCTCTGACTTTACTCTTTTTAAACTCTGCGGGTCTTTCCAGAGCGGGCATGCACGTGATAACTATTAGGGAGAAGGAGCAGCTACAAATGTCATTTGCAGAGACTGCTTGCTGAGCGAAAGAGACCACAAGAGACGTAGCGAGAGAGAGAGAGAGAGAGAAAGAGGGGGGGGGGGGGCTGATTGAAGGTCTCGATGTGATATTTTAGCAGCAATTTGACGATGTTTTTAGCGCCGGGGGACGTCACTCAAAGGCTGTGAAGCAAAAGCCTCCGAGTGAAGACCCTTTTTTTTTCCCCACTCACAAAAGGCGAGATGCAGATCTCCGCGCTATGCTTGGATCACACTTTATTTTTTTATTTCTTTTCCTCTAAAGCGCCAGCTTCACTTTCCTTCTCTCCTGCTCCCCATGATGACTGCTAGAAATAAAGAGACTGGTCAGCGGGGGAGGCAGGGAGGCTCTCTATGGCTGTTCTCCAACTCATTACCAGATGTGGAGAGTCACACACACACACACACACACACACACACACACACACACACACACACACACACACACACACACACACACACACACAGTGGAGTAAAAAGAAGCACGAAATCCCCCAGATACATTCATGTGGACTGATTCTTTGTGTTGATAGTGCGTTTGCAGTGTAAGGTGTGAAAGTAGAGAAAGAAAAAAAGAAAAAACACACACACTGTGTAAACATGGTTCAACACAAAAAAGACCAAACTTCAAGTAAAAACCACCAAGCCGCCAGTTTTTCCGTCAGGGTAAAAACAAGCTCTATCCTTTCTTTGGAAAGACGGCGGCTTCGTGTCCATCGACCACTCGACACGGAGCGCTCTCTCACGGCGGCGTGGTCCAAACGGTTAGCCCGGGTCGCTCTTTAGCCCGGAGGCACCCGCCTGCCGGGACAAAACATTATAACACAAATGACACGAATGGAAATAAGCGGAGCCCTATCGCGATGTGGCTGTTTGTTGTGTAAACACATTCTAACTTGTGTTTTGGGCTTTGGTGTTTTCCAACAAACAAGTCGTGCCCTCTATATGTCAGGAACACTTCATGCAAGGATATAGTATTGCTAAATATTTGAAACCGCTGAAATAAACGCAAACATTCACTTGTTTGGAAAGAAAGAAACAAAACTCAGAAGGTAACTCGTTATAATCCTATTTGTAGGCCAACCCTTCTTTGTTAACGCAGAAGGTTTGGATTTCATGTTTAATGTGTCCGACTCAGGCTTGAGATATGCACATGTCATCTGATATCCACACACATATTCCATTGTGAGAACACGCCACTGTTTGGAGAAGCTCAAGTTCAAGTCCTGTGAATGAATCTCCAGTTTTCACTTCACCCCCCCTCGGTCAGAGTCGGCTGGATTTCAGGCCGGTTGGCTGAGACCCTGACGTGACCCCGTGCCCACTGGAGGAACGCCAAGCCAGCAGCAGACCCGGACCTGAAGCCGCTCCGGACCGAGGCTGCGCCCGCCGATTGTCCTTTCTGCCTCCAGCAGGAAAGCCCCCGTTTTGGGGCTCGCCTTGCAAATATAATTCGGTTAAGGCAGTGCTCCTCGTTGTTCCTGGTGGAAGGATCGAGAGGCCGACATCCTCAGTCAGGTGGGGAAACTAGAAGCGGGGCGAGCAGCCAGAGGGCGGCGCGTAGTTCAGGGATTCAGGGTGCAAAAACCGGACCAGCGACGCTCCCCGTGGCCTTCTTCTCAGGACGGTTTTCGGAAGGTAAAAATGTCCCGGGTTTTGGAGCCTTTCTTACCCTTTAGCGGCGGCGTGGGGGCGGGGTTTGGTGAGGAGGACAGGGAGGGGGAGGAGGGCTGGGGGGTGGAGGTGCCTCCATAGGGGCAGCTCTGGGAGTCCGGGTGCTCACCTGAACACTCCACGGTGGGGATGTAGCGGCTGTCCCACATCCCCGGGCCACACAGTTTACAAAGGTCATGTAGGCTGCAGGGGATTCTGGGTAGCAGGCGGAACTGGTAGAGAAGGCTGCGGGCCTGGAAGAGCAAGGCAAAGAAGGCAAGATGCACTCATTTATATTGAATGGGGAAAGCAACTGGGCATTGAAAATAGCTTCATGCAGATGTCTAACATAGAGGATAAAATGTTGAAATAAAATGTACACCCCCGACCGAGGAAACAAAGCAATGCCGAGTAGAGTGGCACCTAGAGCTGAAAAGCCGACGCGCAGCCGACACAAAACCCCAAGCGAACGGCACAGGGAGTTACGTCTGCTGCATGCAGGAATGAGCAGCGCGCCTGTGGCTCTGACGCAGCATCCATAAAGATGAGGGCCGGCGCCCAAACACAGTAGCAGGGGATGCAGATCATAAATCCTCTGCTTGGCCGCGGGGCAGCGTCCCACGCAGCAGCCCAAGGCCTCTGTGGGCGGGTCTCTGTGTCACAACACGACACGGCTGCAGCATCGGGACGGCGCTTCCTTGCGCAGACACGACACGGCGATTTGAATCAAACGTGCCGAGGAATCGCCACCGGCGTGGTCATAATGCAACGGTTATTCAAATACCATTCGGACGAATGGAAAAGCTATTGGCTCTGGGTGCACACTGGGGACATGGTGGAGCCCTCGCATACCTTGCGTAGCACCAGTTCTCCGTTCATGTGCATGGAGAGGTTGCTGAAGTGGAGCAACATTTGGTCGGTGGCGAGCTGCTGCTCGGTCACGTCCTCCCCGTAGAGAACAATGATGGCCACACACAGGAACAGGTGGAAGTAGTCCGTCTATGCGGAGAAGGAAAGAGGGAAGTGAGCAGGTTGTTACTTAAAGACAAGACATTTGTTAATTAGCGTGTTTTTATTTAATTCTAATGACAACAAGGTCACGGATCTGCAGGGCAGTTTACAGAGAAACCCGGGTCATTAGGAGGAGGAGAAATAAAATAAAAACTTAAAAGCTGGATGAGTTCAGGTAAGAAGATGTGTCATTTCATTTCAGTTGAGGTACTATGAGAAAATATTACTTCCATTGACAGGCCCTCTTAGTTTGTAGAGTCCACATTGTAAAGCTGCAGTTTTTAAATGTATCCATTCAAACTAAATCAAAATGTGTGATTATATCATTAGTTGAATTAACTAAACCAAAAGGATCACCGATGAATAAAACCCATCAAACCCCCAAACTAAGGACATTTTATACGCACTTAGGAGGATTACCGTACCCCAGTCTGTGGTGACAAGCTTTAAAAGGGATAACATGGACTCTTTTTCTAATGTCAAACAATGTTACAATTGCATTTCTTCACGCTCACTGAAGAATAATGAGAAACGTGGTGCTGCACCATCGAGTTTTCCTTCCCAAAACTGACCTGATAGTGCGCCCAGCAGGCCTCCCACATGCGCAGGGCCTCGGTGTCGGGGAACTCTCGTTTGAAGCAGAGCAGGATCCAGCGGTGGCAGAAGAGCAGCTGGAGGCCGTCCTCCCCCAGCCCGGTCAGGTGCTGGTGGAAGCGAGGCAGCATGAGACGCAGCAGCTCGCGCAGGTACATCTGGAGGCGGTTCAGAAAGCGCACGCGTCGTCTCACAAAACACAAATCGACCGCTTTCTGGTGAGGTTTTGTTCTGTTACTGGGAAGTGGTGCTTCTCCGGGTCAGGGTTCGCTAACGCACACAAGTGGCTCGGCAGAATATAGATATAATATCTATGTAGGGATATGACGGTAATACAGCACAAGTATTGATGTTGCATGACAGTAAATTGACGTTTTTATATCGTAATATGTCTTTATATTTTACAATTGACGGAGAGAGAAAACTCCACTGCACCTAAAAGCATATCTCCGTCTCTTTTCCTCTCCTACGATACGATCTGACATTAGTCCGTCTCCCAGACTAACACGGGAACATCCTACCAGCTGCCTCTCCATGTCGTCGTCACGGGGTGAGCTGATGAAGATGGTGTTCTCCATGAGGCCGACGAAGCACCAGAAGGTGTCGCTTTCGTCCTGGATCTCGGTGAGCAGGGGGGCCACCAGGTCAGACATGCCCTGGCAGTAGCCCATGTCTGGATTAAACACCGCGTAGTTGAGCAGGGTCCGTCTGGTGGGGGGGGGGGGTCAAGAACGAGAACATGCAGAAATGTATAAACGATTTTTTTCGTCTCCTCCATTCGTGACTCTGCAGCACCGCCCAACCGCTCTAAAGTATAAAGTACCGTCCCGCCCTGTATGATCCGACATGTGTGTAATGCCCAGAAAAACATGCCAAACCCAGAGCAGTTGCTATGCCGACCCCCTGGTAACCAGGGAGCTAATTAATGATCTTTCTTACACACACATATAATATATATATATATGTGTGTGTATGTGTGTGTATTACTTTGAAGTAAACTTCCCATGACAGTCCTCATGCATTAGTAAGGAGTGTACAACAAAGGGAAAGCCCTGAAGACCCTTTTTTATTGTTATGGGTGAAATATTAACAGCAAAAATAGTCACTTGGAAAAAACTATGAGAATGGGGGGGGGGCAGCGGTTGTGCTTCTGGGAAACAAAGAATCTCAAAATAAAGTAGAATTCTTAGACGGGATGACGAGTAGAAGGACACATGAGTACAATGGGAGCATGAGATGAGTGCTGTGCATCTGGACACGGGGGCAGGACCCCCCCACATACAGCGTAGGACGTAACACCTCGACAAACACCAGGAGGCTCGATGAGAGAGTCACTAAACTAATATGCTATTTAAATCCTCTCGCTCCTCGTTTAGAAAGCCATTAGCTCCGAGGACGCATCCAAAGTACTCCGGCGGCTTAGTCAGAGTCAATAAAGCATGGAACTCATTTGCGGCTCCCCCAGGGTTCAGAATATGAAATGATAAGGTACGCCTGTGTGTCGGGCCGAGGGATGGGAGTGATGGGAGTGATGGGGGCAGATTGAGAGGAGGTGAGGGGCAAAGAGGCAGATCAGGGGTGATGGAGGAAAGAAGGAGGCAGTCTGACCTCATGATCTCCACGTTGGGGTTATTCTCCCCTCTGAAGAAGTCGTTGCTGCGGTCCGTTCGCACCACGTCTTTATCCACAGTGAACTGGACCTTCCTCCAGAACTCGCTGTGCTCCTCCGGGCTCATGGACAACCTGGAACACCAGGCGGGAATGGAAAAGCGCAAAGAATTAACCGCAGTGGTTTTCTTACACAAAAGAGGTTTCCAGAGTGAATCGTGACGGATTCAAAAAGAAAGTTTAAGAAAGTTTTCAGAAACCATCTCTAAGGAAATTAAGGTAATTGGGATGGATAAAAAAAACAAAAAAAACAATCTTAACCTCAAATGTCACTCTGGTGTGAAACGCTAATGGTTAGCAGCATATGAATTACAAAAGGTGTGTGTGTGTGTGGGGGGGGGGGGGGGGCAAGCAGAGGACTGAAGGGGTGTTTCAGTGCTCCACTGGGGACAAAACCACAACCATAAAACCACCACCCATCCCTCCGAACGTTATTAGCATGTAGTCTGTGTTTGGCACTAATGTACCCGAGCCCTAACAAGCAGAGGGGATTTAATTAACAATGTTTGTTTTCCATGTGGCCCCACCAGGAATAGTGAGCGCACACCTGATGCAACGCCACGCAACTGTGCAGCTTCAACGCCGGGTGTTTGTGGGGTGGACCTGGTTCTTATCTGTCTCTCTGGAGGACAGGCACATGTTTTCATCACTTTAAAATGTCTGCGCCTGGTGTGGTTGAGCAACAATATAGCTGCATTAACGTAAGAATATTAAATAAGAACATAATTCACTACTAAAAACGAAGCATGACGCAGTGCTTCTAACATATAACAAGCTCCATTTCATTAACGCAATGCAGAAACTCTTACGTTAATTGCTTAAGTGCCTCGGGTTTGAGCACATTTTAATTACTTTGATAATTCAGGAATCATTTCTGATTCCATTTCATTATTCAAGCACAAACCTGGGCTACGTATCCAGCAGCACATCTATGAAGTAACTGACGGAGAGAAATTCACTTTCCTTTCTCTTAGAAATAGAGCTTATTTAAATCTATTCCGTGGTGCACCATGAATGCAATAAAAGCACTTCCTCTTCAAAAGAGCCCTCCTTATTTAGTAAGCAGCTTGTAACATGACAAATATATCACAAATAAACTGATGTTAAATCCAGCCAATGCACCACAGTATGAACTAAATAGATGTGACGGTTTGGTTAAACCTTTCGTTTTCCTAATTTTTGCATAAAACTGATACATATATTGAGCTAAATTAAAAAAAGAATAATAATCTCCTCCAAGTTTTTCCACAATGTCCCTTTTTCCACATCCGCAGTGGTTACAGCCGCGCCGCTTTCCCTCTGCGGCTGCTGGTTATCGCAGATGAGGGGAAGGACACGAGGTTAGGAGACAAGGAGCCAAAGCACAGACACGTAAACCTGCTCCTGTAAAGATCAACCGTGGGGCCCGGCGTCAAAATGGTCTTTATTAAAAGGAATCCGCATCAGAGTCAGAAGGAGGGCTCTAATTATCATCACCTTTGATAAGACCTTCTGACGCACTCACAGACGAAACCTGCCCTATTATCATATTAATGACAGACCAAACGCGTGGAAATACGTGCACACTCGATAAAGGTGTGCACGTAGGTGGAGATAAATGAAGAGGATGTGTGTGTGTGTGTGTGTGTGCGTGTGTGTGTTTCCTTCTATATGATCTGATAACTGCTGAAATGTTTTCTCTCCAGAGACCTTTTACTTCACACCCCCCCTCTCCCCGTTAACACTTCCCTGATTGTGCCGATCGATTGCTCGGTGCCCGCGATGCGGATCCACAATCAGACTCACGTGCGGTTTGATGGTCGACTGACTGAGCGCTTGCCGGCCGATCTGCTGCTTCTTGGGCGGACTTTTTCAAATAAAAAAATGGCACACACACACACACACACATATGTACATGTACATGTCGCCCTGTTCCCCACCTCCTCTGTTGGATGTCATGGTAGAGGGAGCGTTTTTGCAGCCTCCAGGCCTCCCTCTGCAGAGAGGTGGAGTCATAGCTGTAGTAGTGCAGCAGGAAGGGCCACACCTCGCCACGGATGGACGGGTCAATACCGCCGAAGAAGATGGCCTGGCGGGAAAAAGTGGGAGGCGACAGTGAGCACGTCAAACTGTACTCCACCATCACCTCACTGAACTACAGCAGACGGGTCCTTTCACAGAGCTCTTCTGTTCTCCTACGCGTACGCCGTGACAGAGGAAATGCTTCTGCTCACGTGTTATAACTGCCGCTGAGTCATTTCAGCAAGGTGGTAAACCTTCATCCGAGGGCAGTCAGATGACTCACACGGTGGGGGGGGGAAGGGGGACGATGGCCAAGAACAACCCTCTGAGTAGCTACGCGCCCGAGGCGCTGATACAAACTGAGAGTTCCACCGCGCGGGCCGTCGCTTTCAATATGCCTTCGAGTTTGTCAGCAGCCAATGCAGGAGAACGCGCAGCTTAGAAAAACAGGGCTGTAAAAACAGGCGCACACGTACCTTGCGCAGCTTGTACTCCTCCTCCACCTGCCCGTTGTGGTTGAGGTGACGTAGCCAGGAGGTGACGTCCAGCCGGCGATACAGCTTCTCCTCCGGGTGGGTCTCAGCCGACGGCAGCGTGGGCCTCTGGATGGAAAACTGCATGCAGGACTTCTCATCGGATACCTGGCGGATAGCGGGAGCGGGTGAGCATGAGGGTGGGGGCGGCGCGGGGGAGAGGGGGGGTAATAAATGAAACTGGATGGGAGTTTAGATGAGACCTGGTCTTTAAGCTGAGTTTCCCTGCAGCACTTCCACTGCTGGAAGACCTCCGCCAGCTTGTCCAGGCCGGCGTGGTGGAAGTGGAGGATCTTGTATTGGCTCTCTCGGCTGGCGATCACCAGCTGGCCGCTGGTACACGCCTCATCGCTGCGCCGCAGCAAAACAACATCAGGGCACAACATTGAGGTTTGAAAGAAATGTGTTTGTGGGAGCGGGAGTAAAACCGCTTTTCAATTCTTACTTTCTTATTATGAATAAACAAACAAATTGACTCCGTCGCGATCCGCTGCACAGAAACGCAACAAGACAATCCCGTCATGACCTCCCCCGTGACCTTTGTACCCCCCCCTCCCACTGACCAGAAGAAGAGTCTCAGCGACCGCATGTGGCCCAGGTCCACCCTGAAAACGCCGCACAACTGCTCCAGCACCAGCACCTTCTGCTGCTCCTCCCAACGCGCGCCGTGCGACTGGCTGCCACTCTCGGAGGGGGCGTGGCTGTCCAGGCTGGAGGCGGAGCTCACGGAGTGAGTCATTGACTCTTCGCAAAGCTCCCTGGCGGAAAAAAATAGAGAAAACATACAACACATTTTTTTTTTTTACTTAATTGAGCTGCGGGGAATTTAGTAATTTCCATGAAATCAAAGTAACGATAAATATTATTTTTCCCGTCGAGATTAAAGATTTCTCTTTTCTTGTGCTTCTTCCATGAGGGACATTGATAACAAATTCAGTGCAGACAGCTGCCAGCAGTGTTGAGCCCAGCAACAATTGTGCAGACATATAGTTTGTGTCTCAGTATGGTTCAACCAAGAAGCTGAGAATGGGAGGAATGCATGGAGGCTTGTGAGGACACACACACACACACACAGATTTGAATGATCCGAATCACTGGCTAGTATGTTTAAGGCCTTAGCACACACACTCACACACACACACACACACAGACACACACAAATTGACCATAGCTAATGACCATAATGCTCTCTCGAACACGTCTCAAGACGTGCTAATGCTGAGAAACAGAAATGTGCTAAACCCGCTGACATTTGAGGAGTAGACGTCTACATGAAGTTATTCACTTACGACTATCAAAACCACTCAAACACATTCATTTAAATAACCGCAACAAGAATTTAGAAAACGTCATTGATATTATTGTTGATTGTAAGAGAAAAAAAGAATGCAAAAACTGCTGTTTGTCTGTTTTATATGAAAGAATGTGTTTGGAAGCCTCTTTTGGTCCTCAATTAAGGGAAGAAATGACAAAGAAAACCACCGTCTATCTATCAATGATAGACCACCAACACCAACGTTACAGGGGAACACAAGAGGCGGCTCGGCCGGCCGCATCTAATCCGGTCCACCCTGAGTCAATCATATCCGGCTAATCATTTCCCCGTACGCAGATGGGGAAAATAACAAGGCTGATCAATCCAGGCTGCAGTTTCCTCTGCTATCCAGTGATTTACTGCTCTCCGTCTCATGTATCACGCAACTAAGCAGGCTGTGGAACACGAGGACACGGGGGGGGGGGGGGCCCGGACGCCTCTGGAAGGGAAGCCAAGCCATCGGAAATATACTTTAAAAAAAGGACGACCGTAGCGTTTCTCCCCATGTAAATAAAAGTGCTAAAAAAAGTTTTTTTAAAAACATTGGAAAATTGTGGCGAGGAAGCACATGCTTCTCGGCCTCACGCCGCGCGGCGCTGCGAGCGGGAACTCTGCGGCGTGATTAACGCAAACTGTACACAAGAGTGCAGCGTGTAAACAAGCTGTTTTGACGGAGTCAGGCTGCTGCATCCAGCGCGTCCCACCGGGCCCCCGGGGGTGAGATCCAGACTGCCCCGAGGCCCTTCATAACACCTCTCTCCACATACACAAGGGGGGGCGGGGGAGGTGTGTGTGTGTGTGTGGGGGGGGGGGAGGGGGTGCTGCCAGGTCACCCTGAGAACCAGGACCAAGTGCTACAAGCCTGCAGGGACTCGGAGGCCCTTCAGCTAATCCCTCGAGCGATGAGGAGGGTGGAGGGTGGAGGCTTGGGTGAAGGAGGCGGAAGGAGGGGGTGAGGGGCTCTCCGTAGTGCCAACATCGGAAAGTGGTCAGTACAGTTTGAAGTTTGGAGAGAAAACAGCAGACATTTGTCGTATTTATGAATCACGCTGTGTTCCAATAGTCCCATAAGAGCCAGATGTGGGACTCTCACTAGTGTGTGGTTTTTTTTTTAAAGGGACAATTCACCCCCCCAAAAAAACAAGAAAAGCAAAGTTCAATGTCTTCAACTGGGAATCTGTGCTACGCGTACATGTGAGCGGTGATAAACGGTTGCTGCTTCAGGCCCAAGCACAAGCCCAAAAGCGAAGCACGTCGCTCCCACACACACAACAATCACATGCCAACGCCATCTGAGGAGGGCAGCGCACGTTGACGCTCACCAGCGGCCTCATGAACTACCGTTCAACTTTAAAGGAACTCGCTGTGGATTCCTCTTTCCCCCCCCCCCCTCCCCACTTCCACGTTTCATCCGCTCCCGTTCTCCCATACGGGGTCCTTTCTCTTTGAATGATTCCAAGTGACATGTTTCCAGTTCCTGGCCCCTTAACAGTGTCAATTAAAGCAGGAGAGAGAGAAAGAAAGATTGAGTGAGTTCCCGGGTTCTGGCATGCTGCTCCGCGCTCTTCAGTCCTCTAATCCGGGGAGCTGACATTCAGCCCAGCACAACAACCCCGGGAAGCACTGGGAATCAAAGGGCTTCACACAGACTTTGGTGAGGGAGGGGAGGGGGGGGGGGAGTGTAAGATATTCGAGAGGCGGGCAACGCAGAAAGAAACAATATAGAGAAAAACAGGCCGAGAATGAGCAAAAAAAAAAATGGACGGGATGCAAAATAAAGAGAGAAAGGTGCGGACGGTTGGTGGAGGGAGAGGATGAGAGGAGACACCGAGGAATGGAGGAAGACAAGGGAGACAGCGTAAAAAGGTTAGAAGCTGTGAAACAGAGCGTGCTGCCAAGTCACACATGCACTTACTGCAAGCCGGGCTCTGAGAGTGGTTCAGAAAAAAAAGAGACAGAGAGGCCTAAACACACACACACACACACACACACACACACACTCTGACACAGGCTCACACATTCTGGGCAACGAGTCCGGGCCAAATAGCTGCGTGAGGAAACGGCCACGGAGGGAATTATAAAGTCGAGCGGCCGAAGGGTCCGAGCAGCAACACGATCGCCGTCCAGATGGCTTCGCTTGATTAGAGAGCGGTCTGAGGCTGTGGGTTTTGTAGGATTTTGGGGGGGGGGTAGGGGGCTATTTCGTGCCATCTGTGACATCATGAGACAGTCAGATTGACCGCGCGGCTTTAGGAGCCCATCTTGACCTTAAAATAACATTTCATGCCCCCCACCCCAGCTAGAAGTCATCCATCTACCTGATGTCAGTCCCAGTGCAGCGCAGGAAGCCACCACGTGGCCTCAGAGGGAAAATGATCACTCACGCAGTTACTTATTTTCTTTGGCTCCACCTTGTGGTAGTTTAGTGTAACTGAATGCACATTTTACACCTTTGCTCTGTAGTATATTGAGTATTATACAAATCATAGTGAAAATGTAGTGGCACCAGGAATAACACACACACACACACCCACACACACACACACACAGAGAAAGCCCACTCACTTTACAACAGACACACACGACTTAAATTATTTTACTGCACACCCAGAACGGCCACTAAATCTGTCTGACAAAAATAACCCTTTCTCTGAATTAATCGGAAGGAACATTTTTAACTCAATATATTGCATCACTTCCAGACCAACAAAAGCGACTTTAACGGCTTAAGGAGATCACATCTGACTGAATGTGAACTATTGTTTGGGGGGGGGGGGGTTATATTTAGAAAAGGAGCAACTCATTGGAGACATTGGCCACAAACCCTTTATCAACACACAAAGAAGACTGACTGGACCGGCATGAGGGCACTTTGCAACAACAGCGTGAGTTTACGAGGTTCACCTGTATGCACCATGAAATCCCAACCCAAAAAAGTTCAATCAGTGCCTCCCGAGTGAAATAAAGCGATGTGGCATTTCATTTAGTGTAGGTCTCAGATACGGACCTGGTCAATGCAATTTTATTTATTTTGTAAACCCCAAAAAAGAGGAATAAACCTCACGTATGAACGTAATAAATGTAATTTGAACAGAACAAAACATTTTGGACCCTGTACATTTCAAATTGAAGTCTGCGACCTTAATTTGAGACTCAGTTTTCCCGATTGTCTCGCATTATTCTTCATGTTGTTTTTCTACTATCTTGTCAACCTCATTTAGGCTGCCTGCTTCTGTAATTGCCTTGCACAATAATTACAAAAGCAGCCACGTAATTAAGCTCTATTAAGCTGAACAGCAATCTGCAGCATGCTTCATTGTTAACAAAGGCCTGACAATGACCGTTTAAATGACCAACTGGAGTAAACAATATGGGACTACTTATTGCCACAGACGCGTTTACATCAGACGGCACATGCTCTGCTCTTGCACCCAAGTGGCATCGAGCACAATTAATCCCCAGCGGGTTAGAGACCAGATACCGTCGGAGAGATCACTGGATATTAAATATGTACGCAACGCTGCAGGCGATACGATTCCGTCACTAAACGCCGCAGACAGAATCCTTTGCGGTCAGAGACACTAAATAAATCTCGTCAAGCAGTGCAGTGATAACAGCCAGCTGCTTACTTACAAAAACGGTCAAATTATGAGTTGTCATTGAAATTATAATGTAAAAAAAACAAAAAAACATGGGGAGATCCACAAGGGAAATAGCAGTGACAATAGAAAAGTCTCACAAGCGCCCCCTGCTGGATGTCTGTTACACTACACCAGTCAGAAAATCACCTCATTATTGAATTGACCAACAAAAAGATCCTTCAACTACCAATGAGGACTTTTCATAGAAATGAAAACACTTCTTCCCAAGGTGAGAGAGAGGAGGGTGAGACCGGCAACTGATCTCCCAGGTGCCAAATCAAAGCAATTTTTGATAATATGAGGCACAAAAACAACCCTTATTTGATCAGTTTTATGAATAACACCACAGACCCATGGGCGAGGCCCACTCCCTGCCGACGACTCACCTGCATTCGCTGTCCAGGAAGACGGAGCCGCTGCTTTCGCAGAGGGCCTCGCTGACCGGGGACAGGCAGAACGGCGAGGAGAACGTGTCCGAGTCGGAACCCATGGTACTGTCCCGACTCACCTCGTCCGACAGCTCGCAGGAGCCCTCGTCGCCCTCCTCCCCCGCCGACGGCAGCTGCTGCTGGTGGTGGGAGGAGGGATCCGCTCCCGCCGCCGCCTGAAGCCCGGGGCTCTCCGCCGCCGCGCCGCTGGTGATGTTCCGCTCCTCGTCCTCGTCTTCCTCCTGGGCCGCCGGGTGGTGGCAGTGGGGCCTGCAATGTTTCAATCGTTTAAAGTCTTCTTCTTGTTAATTAAAAAGTGAATTATGAACCATTTGTAGTAAAATCTGGGTATGCTTAAGGGGCGGGCTACTTTGTGAGTTGTCTGTGTTTTCCGATTACAACTTTAACCCTTTAATTCATTTAGACATTTTGGTGAAGTTCTTATTGGGGGCTCAGTTGTACAAACTCCTCCCCCTCGTGCCACTGTTGAAAAAATAACCAACTCGAGGCCTCAAGGGGGATCAATGGGTGGCGTCGAGGTGTCCTCATTTTTTAAGAAACGCCTCTCCTACCGTCGGCCTCGGCGCCGCGCATTCCTGCGGACCGGCGAGCTCTCCGGTGTCACGTAGCGCAGCGCCTCCTCGTCCTGCTTCTGGATGCGGGAGTTGGGCACCCAGGTGAGAATCAGAGTGGTGCCTACGCTCTCATCCTTCTCCGCGTGGACGCAGAGGTAGCCTGCAAAAATGACGACACGTTTCATGAAACTGTCACACAAAAGACAAACATGAAACCTGAGATAAAAACACACAAAGAGGACACACCCAGAGAGGCCTGAAACCAACCACACACACACACACACACACACACACAGGGGATCACGAGATGATAAGGGAAAAAGAAGGAAATGCTCCTTGTGTTCACGCTACCACGAGGTCACAGTCACACATGTGATGCACAAACAAAGCGGGTATATTTGAGTCTTGGTAAAAAAGGAGTTTATAGTAATAAAGGAGTATAAGGGACAAGCTTTACAAACGCCCGTGTGCTGCTGACGGCGGGGACATTTGGCGGTACAATCACATTAAGGTCCTAACACCACGTTTCAACCTTGGCCTGACCTGGGTGGTGCTCCGCCAGGCCGGGCAGCGGCTCCGCCGGGTGCACGCACACATTGTTCTTGGAGAAGATGATTTCGCCGTCCAAGCCCGAGCGCAGCGACGAGCCTGCCGCCCCGGGGTTGAAGGTCAGGAGGTCGGAGGCCTTGGAGGAGGCGCGTCGCAGCAGCCGACCCAGAGACATCTCCTGAAGAACAGGGACGCTGGGCCCATCGTCTGGACGCCGCAGAGAGAGAGAGGGAGGGAAAAGATAGCGTGACACTACAGCAGAGGACTGCTACACTTCCTCGTCACCTACACTTCACCTCCTCCGTACTCACTGCAGTGTCCTCTCTGCAGCAGCTCAACCCCCCCGTCCCCCCTCTACCCGTTTTCTTCCCAGACACCCGCGCTTAGACACATTGACGGGATCTGCGGATACAGTGTGTGAACAAACAGCTCCCGCCTTCTGCAAACAGCACACAAAGACGTGTGCAAACACACGTGTGAAATTTCCCCAGCGGATATCGGTGGCCGACAGATGTCACCGGGATCGCTGTGGTGTCGCAGCGCCGCCGTTTCACAAACTGCGGGCGGCCGCGGGTGAGCGGGGAGTCAGAGGTCCGGCCGACCCACGATGCCGAGGTGTCCTCGGGCAGGACACTTTGACCACAGCGTGTGGATGTTAAGTCACTGATGGACGGGTGGCCCTGATGGGTGTGTGTGTGTGTGGTAGCTCCTGTCATCAGGGTGTGAATGGGTGAATGATGACATGGAGTGTATATACAAGTACAGTGTGTTTACTTCCAGAGTGATGAGACGAACGTGCGTTTGTTGATAAACGCTTCATTCTTTCGAAAAGACCTTGAAGCGATTTTACTGACTCAAAGGACACAGAACTGTGTTGTTGCTGTTGTTGGAAGTACACATAGAACGTGTTGACTCGATTGCTTTCCCTTTGCTTTGACGTGTGGATCCGTACCTTTGGACCCACTTTGCGTGCGGAGCCCCGTCTTCTTGTAGGCTGAACACCGTCACATGCTTCCCACTCAATCTGAGGAATGTTCCCTGTTTTTTCCTCGGAGGGCATGTTTACCACCGGCTGATTAGACAGGAACCCCACCGCCTGATGCCAGCCCGCAGACAGGAAGTCTGCTGACCTCTGAGAGCAGCCCGACTGTAGGCCTTCATTTGGTTTAAAATTTAAAAACGTTGGGTGTGTAGCAGTTTGTGGTTTTTTAGAATATTCAAATTTTCACAATATTTTTTGGAATAACAGATAAAAGGATTTTTTTCACACTGTATATAGAACTTTAGCCAGGTGAAATATCAACAGGTTTTTAGTTGGCTCAAAATCCGCAACGCACGCTGCAGCAGTTGTAGATAGCTGACGTAGTCAGCTGTATCTTGCATACATCGAAGCCGCATGCTTATGCTTATACAGCTTGTTAGTAGGTCAGCCTGCCACAGTGTGTTTGGCTAACCGCTAACGGCGCTAGCAGTACACACGCCCTGCTGGCCTTCTAGACTGGGGGGGTGTTAGTCAATCGAGGGTCGTATTCATTGAATCAAACATTACAGCAGTGCAGGCACACCTGCACTTCACTGACGTTTTAGAAGTAAAAAAAAAAAAGTAAAGTCTTTATTTACAAAGCACTTTGCACACAACTAGGACTCTAATGTACTGGATCATAACAGAATTCACCATTTCTTTAACATCCAGATAATATATTAGGCTAGTCAAGGCAGGATAACTGCTTCAAATACACCAAGGGACTAAAGCAGCGACCCTGTAATCCGAGTCCACGTTGCTGCGAGACACACACACACACACACACACACACACACACACACAAACTGAAAAACACGCTACCTGCACCTACTGACAGGCCTCCATCTTCAACCGCTGGTTCCAGTGGCCTGGTGACAGCAGCAATAATGTGCAGCTCTCTCGGAGGTTATTCTGGTCTGGAAGCGATTACAGGGCCACTCGGTGGCGGTTTGATAGTGCTGGTTCATTCTCGTCCTCGTCTGATCGCGCCATGCCTCTCCTCTCCCCCGTCCGTACACGGTTTTATCCAACGGGTCACCTCCTCGAGACACTCCAACCTCTAGCGTGGTGCCACTCCCCCCCAACTCTTTGACAGATTGCCTTCCGAAAGGAGACCTTTTAATATGAACTCTATAAACCTGCACCACGGAAACTCAGCAGCGGGTGTGGAAGTGGCCCGGTTCTCGGTCCCCCCACTGGGCTGCATTAATTAAGTTGTCACGCTGCCTTTGAATCTGAATAGAGGAGAGAACGCTGAAGGGAAACCTTTACATCCGCGGTGCACACGGACATGCCTGCAGCAACTGAAAGGAGACCACAGAGAGGCCTGAGAAACAAAGTTCTTGTGCGAGTCTGAAAGGCTGGCTGAACTATAAGGACACGTTATGTGTGACTCAGTGTGGAAAGCACTTCTCTCTCTGGAAAAGTGTTTTGATGAGCTTCATGTGAAGAAGTACAACTTGTATGCCCTAAGATGCCCTCATTTTGAAATGTGGCACACACCTTTTAGACACAACCAAAGAAAACATAATCCCTGCAACCAGCTGATAGTGAATGACAATGCCAAAGTAAAAACGTGGCTAAACTTCATTGATCAAAATATATTTTAAAACTCAACATGTCCATATCTTCATGCGCTCGTCGCGTGTGAGCGTGCGCCTCCGTGTCTGTCTGCGACTGATCTCGTGACCTGCTGCAGCACACGTCATTATATTTTGGATGACCGGTTACGGTTGCACGCTCGAGGACGTCTCGTGGTTACGGGGACTCATACTTTGTCAAAACACATTACAATACAGGTTATTTAGCTGACACTTTTATGCAAAGCGACTTACATTTACCTTTTAGCCCGGGGAGCAATTAGGGGTTAGGTGTCTTCCTCAGGGCCCCCTTGACATGAAGCAGCCGGGGCACAAACCACCAACCTTGCGGTTCTCGGCACACCCGCTCTACCCCTGCGCCACGTTGACCCCGTCACCTTCTAAAGCCCGTTATATTATACAGCCATTGAATGCCTGCCGACTCCTCACTCACTACTCTGCAATGGGCCCCCCGGCCCCCCGGGCCCTCGTGTGATAACACATCCGCGCGCACAGTGAGGGGATATTAGTTTGCAGCGTGTTTGGGGAGCAGCTAATGAAACACACTGTACACACACACACACACCTCGCAGAAACTCGAAAAGCTGGCAGACATCTTGGCTTAAAAACCAATTTGTGTCTAGACACCAGAGATATGCACTGGGTGCACTTCTCCAGTATTAAACGGCATTTTACCCAACGCTGTTTAGAATGATTTCACACATGGTTGAGAAAATAAAATCCTATAATTAAGAATATCATACAACATGTTACATCCAACTGCCAAGTGGTTATGATTTCCCAGATGCCATCAGGTTGTACTGGGATTTACCTTGTTCCCACCACCTGTACTGGGGGGGATTTAACGGTGTGAGACCCACACACAGAGGCTAAAGTCGTATCTACATTGAGGACACGGCTGGTTGAAGGTGGCCTCTCCCTGTCCCGTCAGCGGCCGGACTGTGGGGAAATGATTCAGCGCACAAACACCGCCTGTAGAGGCGTGCCGCGATGCTCCATCAGCCATCACTGCCCTGACGGGCGGATATGGGCCATTTGCAACCACAGCACTGTTTACACGCCAACATTTATTTATATATGTGTGTATGTGTGTGTATACATATAGATGCGTGTGTTTGTGTGCCATTGGCTTACCAGATCTCTGTACCGTTACCATCCTGAGCATGCATATTTGATATCAGCTACACAGAACCAGCGGCCGAAACGCCCGCTGGTTCCATTTCACGATGTCGGCGTTGACACGCAACTTTAAACTTTTTTGTTTTTTTAACACATTATTCCCTCGTTGCTTCTCCGCCGGTTGCCGTGCATCCGTTTCCCAGCGGGAGAGATGAATGAACGCGCACAGAAATCGGGGCCAAAGCGGCTGAGCTCTCACCTTCAGTCCCGCGGCAGGAGTCTACACCCCGGGTCGGACATCCATCTCTGCGGGCGGCCGGTAGGACCGAGCGGCGGGAAACCGGCGTCGCTTCGCCGTCTTTTCTCCCCGATTTAGCTCCGCTGTTTGCGGAGTGTGGGGTTTGTTTGTATCCCCGTGTTTTACCGACAGTGACACCACACGTTTGGCTGGTGCTCTTCCCACAGAAAAATATATGTATTGCATTTCCGGTAACTTTCAAAATAAGAGTTCCCTTTTGAGGAACACGGCGCTGAGGCCTTCGGGCAATTTAAAAGGGCTTTTATTTGTAAGATGCACCTGACTTACTTCCGGTATCTACTTGCTCGGTCATATCATGCTTGACTTAACAGTTCCACACCAGGCTCCCAAATTCCGCTACTTCCGGAAAGTGAAGCCTGAATATCACACAAACCGTTACGTTTAGATGTTGGATTGAAAGCCGAGCGGGACAAAACGGCATGACGACGTTTTTAAATAGAAAATATATATTAGACATCAACTAAAGTCAACAGCCGACAACCACAACCTCCTCTCTCTTTCATCACAAGTGACGTTTCAAAGGTCACTGGCAGAATAAGCTTGAATGCAGTTGGTCCATCATCAGGACCAGAGACGGAGTCACAGCATCTCGTCATGCAGCTGCTAGACAACCAGTCATTTGAAATTATGGCACTTACATGTAGTATTGTGTTGAGACAACGTAATGATGCAAGTTGGCATTCTGGTTTTCATTTCAGAGACAGCATGAAACAGTATTTGCAGCATCTTAGGAGACTCCCAGTAAAGTTCTGATAAGCGCTCACATGCAGACACATCTATTTATACACTGCACTTCAGTAAAAAAATTACATATAAAACACAAAGAAATATCAAAGGTGAATACATTTACAAGATATTACGCGGCCGTGGTGTGTAGCAGTTTGCAGCAAAAATGACCTCCCATAGATATGGCAACCATAACGTGCATCTGGAGCTCCGGGGCGGTTGGGATGGCTCAAAGAAATCAGCTGCTGTGTGATCCTTGCAGCATTACATGCGCTACCATATGTTCACAGGTAACAAGCTTCAGTGCATCAGAGAGCCCATTGGACTGTAAACACCTCTGACATTGGCAAAGCAATGTTGGTCACCGTCAAAAGCTGTGGTAAGAGAAAAGACACCAACAGAGTTCCGTTAATGGTTATATTTTCTGACACAAAGACAGAGTAGACATAAAGAGTAAAAAGGTAGGCACAACAGGTGGGGACATAGAGACACTTGTATGCACAATGACATCATACTCTTTCTAAAAAAGACAAACTGAATGAGTGCTGAATCTCACTGAACTCACCTTGGTGTCACTGCGGTACGTAAAATCCCAGACTTTTCTCCCATTGGCTAATACATATAAGGGTGGCGAGGGCACCCCAAACACCTGCAGCCCTCCCAGCACCAGACCGTCCAGGGCCCCATTCAGCCTGGTGGGATCACTCACCACCTGAGACTGAAGAAAGCATTAAGGCACAATTTATTAGGTCCTTTTTGTGCGAATTTATCAGTTTTTTGTTAGTAAGTTGTTTTTTTTAGCATTTAAACATCACCACATCATTCAGAACGAAAAGTAGCAGTGCATTAAAATGCAAAACACTGTCTCTGCAGATTTCCACAATGCAAATATCACTCTTCTCTCTCTCTTTCCTACCTGCCCAGCAGTGAAGATAACGTAACAATAATTTCCCCCTTCGAACGTGTTGAGTGTGTCGCCGTCGTCCCAGAACAAGTCTCCCCAGGCCCAGCCGCCTGTCGACAGAGCCACGGTCAGGAAGAAAGGGTTTCTGCGCGAGGCTGTGGACGTCAAAGCCGGCTCCTTCACAAGAAAAGGCCCATCACAGAAAACATGATGAAATGATGTGAAATGCAGCAATTTCTTTAAAGGCGTGAATCATGATTTCAAAACAACCTTTGATCTCACACACACACACCTTAATGTCAAATCAATTATACAGAAAACTAAGGCCTCTACGTGGATTGTAACATGTCTCAGTCTCATTTGCTTGTTTCCCAGATTTTAATTGTGCATTATATAGATTAAGATTTTTTCCACCCTCAAATATTTGATCTACCCTTTGTTGTCTCCAACTGAACCACAAATCAAACCGAAAGCATTAAGCCAGAAGAATGAGCTGCATGTTGACAGCAAACACCCACTTGCTGGGGGATAATATGTCCTTCCCTCACATGGGCGTTGATGGTGTCCAGAGGCGCTGGCAGGAGCAGGTACTGACCCTTACTGTAGAAAGGCTGACCCTAATGAGCAAGGAACACACCCCGAAAAATAGGTAAGACACTTGAGTGATGTGTTGCTACAGAAAGCCTCAAACGAGGCTCCTTTTGACAGTAAACAAACAAAAATTGTATTGTTCTGCTCACATTGTGCAGGCTGTACCAAGTGCCAGAGGGCAGATAAGCAGCCAGCTCTACTGCCCCTCGCTCCAAGACTGGGCTGATAAGAAGTGAACTCCCCCACAGGAACTGACGGTCTATGGCCCGACAGTTCTCGTCGCTGGGAAACCTAAGAGTGATGAGAGTACAGAGAGACAAAGTCCGAGTTATAGAAAGGGAAGCATCTGGTCTCGAGTCATTTTACAACTATAACAAATAGAGAGGACACGTACTCCATGAAGAGAGGCCTGGCCACGGTGGCAGCAGCAGTGTGTGCATGATGGAAGAGCGTGTAGAGGAACGGGAGGAGGGAGTAACGCAGGTTCAATGCACTCCGCATGGCTGCCTGGGCCTTCTGCCCGAACACGTAGGGCTCCTGGGGCTGAGGGACACACGCAGACAATGAGAAGATATAGAGTTACCTCTCTGCATAATACATGAAACAGATGGACAGCTCTAAACGCGGTGGAAAAAAACTACTGTACACATAAATTGAATCACACGAGTCAGCACGCGCAGTACACACACAGGCCAACACACAAACAGTGTCTCCGTCTCACTGCGTTGGACTTGTCGTTGTGGTTTCTCATAAACGGGTAGAAGGCCCCGAGCTGCATCCATCGTACACACAGTTCCTCGTTGGTGTTCCCTCCAAAGCCACAGATGTCCGCCCCCACAAGAGGCACGCCGAACAGGCCGAACCGCAGCACCGCTGAAAAGGTACAAGTTCAGAAGGTCTGTTTATAAGCTACAGATGGTCTGTGGTCACTTTTTTACTGAATAGTCATGTGCAAAAATATATACGAAAATTGCCATTGAAAATTAAAAAAAAAAAAAAAAAAAGATTAGTTTAAAAAAAAAAAGATCATGGAAAAAAGTAAAAATATATTAGGTAGAACCTTTTCATGAAAAAAAAGTTTCGATAAGAAAATTCAAAATATCTTTGGTCAAAAAATATAAAATCACAATATATTGGGACAAAAATGTCATGGGAAAAAAAGAGCAAAATATATTTGGTCGAACAATATAAAGTCCAAATATATTTGGCAAAAAAAATTAAAATCAAAATGTATTGAGAGGACAAATGTTATGGTAAAAAAAGTCAAAATATATTTGGTCGAAAAACGTTTTTGAGTGTTTGACCCTTCGGACATCTCCTCACCAGGGATGGAGTAACGAAGCTGCTCCCAGTCACTCCTGACGTCTCCCGTCCACACTGCAGAGAAGCGTCCAATCCCAGGGAAGGAGGAGCGAGACAGGACGAAGGGTCTCTTCTCTCGTACCTTCACGAGAGCACTGAGGATGCCGAGATGAATGCGATATGCAATGAAAATTATAAAAGGCCAAAGAACCACTCGGCCCATATATTCTCCGTCCAGTATGCTCAATTAAAGATATTTATAGTCTGCACACTAGCGACCATGCAAAATAAATATACATTTCAATGAGGCACACCGAGGACTACTACTACTACGCATGGCTTTTCTGTCAACTGACCTAAACCGATTTGACTCTGCGTCAAGTGGCCATTTTGTTTTTGCTACTTGCTGCTTTATTCTGCTGATCGCTCCGCTAACTGCATCTCCGTTGCTGCATGGTCTGACCTGTGCGTTGCGCAGGCTTCAGTCAGTCCGTACATATTGTGTAGGTTGTAGTGGGTGGACAGCTTCTGCTGAGCCGACATACAAAGAGTCCCCGAGTTCAACTTGCCTCCAACCACCCCTGTTTGAATGACAGAGACACGCAAAGGTAGCGAGGAAAAAGACAGTTATGCATCTACAGTCATTTACACAGTATCTTAAAAAGGTAAAACATCCATATATGTAGTTTAACATATCAACTAATCAATGTTTGAATGCCTTTAAGTGCTAATAACATGCAAGACGGATCCAACGCACTTACTGGGTGTGTAGGGCGGGTTCTCAAGATCACCGTCAGGACAACCCTCCGATGAGCCCTGCACAAAACTGGCTGGCTCATTCATGTCCTGGAGGGTCCGAGAACATCAGAGGATAGGTTCTTCTTTATGCGGTGTTAAGGTGCACACAAACCAAATACAACCAGTCATGTACAACTCTCTATCTGTCTTTAAACACTCACAATCCACAGACCATCCACAGGAACCTTGGAATGGAACTCTCGGATGCAGTCCTCCCACCAGCGGCCCGTCTCTGGGTTGGTGAAGTCGGGGAAGGCGGTTGGGCCCGGCCAAACCTAAGTACGCAGTACGGTTGTGTGCATGACGCACAAAGATCACTAAGAGAGCAGACATGTCTGGAGACAAAAACAAGTCTCACCTTCCCAATCAGGATGTGCCCTGTGGCATTTTTTATGAAGACGTCTCGTCTCAGTCCGTCATCAAAGGGAAAATAAGTCCCAGGGGGGCTGGTGCTGCTGATCCCCGGGTCCTGAGACACAAACCAGGACGACTCAGTACCAGGTGTAGAGGACTTTGCTGCCCTCTACTGGAAAAGCGTTGTAATGGGTTGTGCTAATTTTGATAACTACACGATACCAAAACCACTGATACATTTGTTTGAAATCAAATGTTAAATCAGCACTTTGTGAAACTGTAAAACTGCAAAAGACGTCGCACCAGGATAAGGATGTACTTCATGCCACTTTTATGGAATTCCTCCACCATCTCTGGGAGGTCCCCAAATCGCCAGGGGTCAAAGGTGAATACCCTGTCCTTATTCGCATAGTCCAGATCATTCCACTGCACGTCCTGGTGATTAATAAAAATATATAATTATCTGAGGATGTCACAACAAAAACATGAGTTGCTAAGCGTTGACTTTAATGCAGTTACAATTTTCACAAATCCGCAAAACTTTGCAGACAAAACATGTCAGCTATAATAACCACTTATATTCCATAGAATGTTGTGTATTGTGTGTTTACCATGGGAAAGGTTGCATTGCGCATTCGTTGCGCCACACGTCGGGTAGTGGCGGTGGTTGTGTAACCCCAGCGACACAGATGAAAACCCAACGACCAATAGGGAGGCATCATAGGATAGCCTGGGGGTAAAGAAGGCGTAAAAACTTAACACATGCATTTATCCATTCCTCTTGCTACCTAATGATACGTTAAGTGATCGTGGACACTGAAGAGACGCACCAATGACCCGGAGGTACTGTCGTATAACACTCCGAGGGTCAGGACCCAAGAAAACGTAAAGGTCAAGAACTCCACCGATGGCCACCCAGGTGAGAGCGGGGGTCGGCTGCAACACGACTTCTGCAGAGACATTTGACATGTGGGGAAAAGAACATTCTGTATGGAAAGTTATGACCAAAAAAGGCGGCTTGGTACCGATGGCATTGCTGTTAAGCAGGAAGACTCCATGTGCCAGGCCGTCTTGCTCCTGCACGATGTAGAATGGGTGGGAGCCGTACAGGTTAGCATCGGCCTGCAGAGACGAGTGTCAACCTTTACGACTTGAACAGACAACAGGGGGAGGCTGGAAATGACAAAAACATGACTGTTCTGCAGAAGACTAAATCGAAAGGGTTTTTCGGGAGGTTTGCTAAGGATTAAAAGGAGAAGAGCACTATATCTCACATAACGGACATCATTGACATGTGTTTTAGAGCGACTACTTGCAACCCCTTATTATTGTGGGCAATTCAACCAAAGAATGATTTTCCCTTATCTGATTCTTGAAAAGAAAAGGTTCAGGGTTGGTAGGCTAGATTAGAGAAAAATATTAACATTTGGGCAAAATCTCTTTTTTGCTGTTGCAGTCATTTATCTCTTGAACCGTGACATTTTTCTTGAGTCCCCTTTTTTGGGGCGACCGACCCTCATCTCGACAGCCACTGCAAACGACTCACATGAGGCGCCATGTCTCTGTTCCAGAGAGTCAGAGAAGTCCAGTTGAGGTCCAGGAGGAGGGAGGAGTAATGCTCCCCGAGGCCTGACACGTGGGGCGATGCTAGTGCGGTGGACATCTGCAGGTACTGATCAGCAAACAGCAGAGGGGCGACTGTGGTGTTCACGCTGGACACAGAGAACCAATGAGCACGCAACTGCCATCTAATGCAAACACAGTTTAATATCATTCACTGCAGTACAGCACCACTGCAACCCACAACCTCACTTATTCCTTTTACTATTGCTAGTGGCCAATGAGTGTTTATAAATAATACAAAATAAACATCTATAGATAAATAGCTAAATAAAACCTACAAATGCAAACATATTTTTTTAATGTACAAAATATAAATTATGACTATACAGACTGTTACTATGATGCTGTTCATACAACTGTAAATGTAAATCAAACAGACGTACTCACATCACCCTCCCATTGGATTTACGCCGCATTATGAAGCCGAATGGGTCAGACTGGTATTCAGTGGAAAAGAGGACATCTTTATCAGCAGTCTTTCTCTGAGGAACACCAGGCGGGAGTTTGACTTCATATCTCGGAGATGACGGGTCCTTTAACTTGAGAGAAGATAAGCGCTATAAGTTCAGCACACAGCAATGAACTGTGTTCATAGAAGAACATAAAGATGAACCGCTTAACATTATTAGGTATGAATGAATGAAGAAAGTTATTAACACCACCAATTTAAAAACTATCAGGAAACATTAACTCCAGCAAATGATGGATCACTCACAAATCACTGACAACCCATTTAGAAAAATGTATTCGTAAATATTAAATAGTGCATCTTGCCTTTTTTGTGGCATTAATCGACATAAAAAATGTTTTAGAGCTTCATCAAAGTATGTACACAGAAGAAAATGATATAATAAATCACACATGTACCAGCCTAGTTGTTTCCTTCTCAATGGACAAAGAAAGACACTTTTTACTCATTCAATACACATTCCACCCAAACTACCTTATAACACGTAACATCCGGAGGGAAGTCAAGTGGCCTTAATGCACATCCGGGTACTCACGGTGAGATGGAAGCAGCCTGCGGTCTCTTCCGACACTTCCAGCTGTAGAGAGGTGATGTCTCCGGGGAGATGGGAGGGGATGGCTCGGGTCAGGGAGGCCTCCTCGCCCCGCGGGGTGGGAGTGAGGGGACCCATTTCGTAGCCGGGGTACAAACTGGGGTAGAAGCACCAGGGTGGTCCTGCGGAGCCGGGCAGAGGGTCGTAGCAGCAGCCCCTCTCCGCACACTCCCCCCGGCTCAGCAGCCGGTCCCTGGCACAGTCGAAGCGGCTCTCCGGGGCCATGCTGCACGTATCCCCTCTGGGCAAAGCAGTCGGTTTCGGCCTCTCTCGAGCCGCTGCCCATGTCTCCACTGTGATGTTCTGCTGCAGGTGTATTATATTTATAGGTCTATTTTGCTTCGCGTCGTCCGGTCGAACCGGGCTGGTCCGATGGACGCACAGGTGGTTGATGTAGAAACACGTGGACAGCGCGAAGACGAGGAGGAGTCCGGCTACCGCGCAGTCACACGGCGGACACATTTACCCTCCTCCTCGCCAGGGAAGCTGTCCGTGGGGCACTGATATATGTTCAGTGGGAGAGGGAGTTTCTACCGCTACTGCATAAAGCAGCTGATGGAGAGTCACTTACGCTCACAGCGTGGTTCATTTCGAGGACGTTCGAACTCGGCGACCATTGGATTTATTAGCTGCTCGCTAGCTGTTATCTATCGGGCTGTTCCGTTTCATTTAACATGATTCACCAAACAAAAGACGTCCGGTGGGTCGTGTCAACAGACACGGTGTGTGTTGCAATAAATCGGAGAAGCAGAGTCAAGACGGACTAATTTCGCACAGAAATAACGTGCGTAGAGGACCGAAGCAGAGCGTAAGCTCCAAACTACGGCAAGAACTACGGCTCAAAATGGCAAAAAAAAAAAACAGCACTGGTGGAACTTCCTTTTCGTTGTCTGTCATGAAAACGTTTGATGCGACCTCAAGAAATAACATTTCTGTTTTAAAAAATCAGCTGTTATCATGGTTATTTAAATCCATATCAATGTGTTTTCGTGTCCTAATCACACTATTGCGGCGAGATTTTCATGATTTCACTCTTAAAGGGACAGTGCACCTCTTTGACCGAATAATGACTAACTGCCACCAAATAGCCACTTAATTTGGTCCTCGGGGCATTTTATGCCATGTTTTATAATTCCTAAAGTACATGGCTCAGCTCCAACATGCTTACAATAAAGAGTAAAAGACAAAGCTCTTAGCCATTTTAAGAGATCATTTATAGTGTATCACAATCAATCACACTTAAAAAGTTGATGTAGCAGGATTGACAACATGAAAACAAACTGAAATGTAAAAATGTTATAGTATTCCAAGACAACTATTACTGAAATATGTAAAATATAAGTATTACTTCATGCTCCTACAACCACCAAAAAGTACGTATATAAAATAGAAAAGTATAAGCGACGGGTGCTTTGGAGTTTTAACTTTTTTTTTAAATTGCACTCTTTACAATATTTGTTTTTCTTTTGCATATCAATATATGACATTTTTAACCACTGCATATTCATGCTTAGGTCTTAAAACATTTATTGCTAAAACATTGAAACGATTCCAAAGAATTTTCAAATTAAAAATGTGATGCCAGGTGTGAACTGTAGTCCTGAACTTGTCTGGTCCCAACAGTATGAGAATAACAAAATAACTAAATTCAGGTCTAAACAGGGACTTGTAAGTTCTTATTTGAGAAGCAAAAAAACTGTAGAGTAGGTATTTTAGTTTACATTGTGATTACCTTGGAATCAAGGGTCGATCATATCGTCATAGTCCAATTATTGAAAATCATACACACACAAAAAATGTAAAACACTGCCTATATTGGTCAGTGCAAATATGGATAGAGCAACATTTGAAATATAGTAATTTAACTTTCGTACAAAACAAATTTTGATCATAAAACGTGATACAAAATACTTGACACACTACAGATCAACGCTTTGTGTCTTAACAAGATCTTTCATAATTGTTCTTTATTGTTGTTGGTCCTGGTATCGAGGTGGATATTAAACCCCTGATTCAGGATGATGATAGGCAGCCGTATGTGACAGGGTCATTCTTCAAAGACAAACTACAATTTCACAACAATGTTGCAGGCAACAGGTCCTCTGAATGTGAACCCCAGGTAGAACGTGATGTTTTCATTACTATGAGGAACTGATGGTACATGAAGAGGTTGGATATTAAACCTCTTTTTCCGAGGGCCTTCAAGGTACACCACTCCATCTTCAGTCCATCCAGACACACATTTCAGCATGTTTGCAATCTCAGGCTTTTTCCATGCCTCCCCTCTAAACCACTTCATGCGTTTCTCAGACACTGAGAACCCCCTTGTGACTGTTTCAAACTTTCTCTTGTGGACAAATTTATCGAGTCCGTTTCCATTGCCCAGAAAGAAATGGGTGTAAATCCTTCTCTTCCTCTGAGGAACATCTTTCTTCTTGGTCCAATAGCCTTTTTCCAGGTGTTCAACAGCAGAGTGGACAATTTCATATTTGTTTTCTTTCTCATCATTGGTGTCATGATCCTCTGGCCAGAATAGCAAAGTGAACAAGAACAGGGCACTTGGTAAGCATTTCCTTTTATCGGTTGGGAACTGAAAACACAGTGCTTGCAGATCTTTCAGAGGAGGAACCTTCTGAATCTGTGGAGACAGGCACTTCAGAGTAAGGTGGGCCATTATGTAATTGATAATATCCCTTTGTCCAAATTTAGCCTTTTTTGGATTACTGGGGTAGAGAGACAGGATGGTCTCGAGAAGACGCACTGAATTACTCTGATCAGTTAGCTTGAAGAGGATGGATGTTATGTTCCCCCCTCCAAGTTTAAAGATGATCATGCGCTTTTGAAAAGGAGTCAGATTGGCTGCAGCGGATTCCCCTTGAAGCGCAGTAAAATAAGTTTCACTGAAATATTTCCCATACTCTGAAGATCTCTTTGCCAACCATTTGAGTGGATTGCTTATTTTCTCCTCAGAACTGTCAGGCGGATCTTCTCCATCCAAACCAATGTCTGTCTGGAAGTAACTGAGGTCTTCTGAAATCCATTCAAGGGCATCATGCATGGTCTTGTTTAGTTTTTTCAAACGGCCATGGAATGGTTCCCAGGCGTCTTCAACCTCCTCAGGTATGTACTCTGTTAACAGGTACTTCATACACTCTGAGTGGCCATTGGTTCGGTTTGAAAACACTTGCGATGAAGAGATCAGTTTGAGCAGGCTGCATCCAACCTCAACCTCAGAGAAATACCCTGAGCTATTACTGTTGTCCATATCTGCGTCAGCTGCTTTCTCACATTCTTGAAAACAATCCAGGGCTTTCAGTGCCGTCTCCACAGCATCTGCGATATTCTGGGCTGTCTTTGGTACATTGTCATTCTCAATGGCTTTGCACTTAGCTTGGAACCATTTCTTGTACACTTGCCCTTTTGTGTCAAGTATGTAGGAGTTGTTGGGCTGCTTTTTGGCTGCTGTCTCCGCCCAGTATTTTGCCTCTTCAAACTTTTCATAAGTGTAATGAAGACGAGCAAGTTGTTGTGCAAAGAATGAGTCTTTATTGAAGCGCTCGAACGCTTCCTTGAGCAAGTCAATTGCTTTTTCTGGGCTTTTTTCTTTTTCATTCACATGCTCAACCAGAGGAGAGAAGAAACTATCATACGTGTCCCCTTTGCTTATTCTGGCTCGCCTTATGAAAAGGGCTTTCAAAAATGAATGATATTCCTCCCTTCCAAAACGCCCTCTCTAAGGTGCACGTCGTCACGGAGCAAATCCATTGCTAAACTGCTTCGGGTCTGTTGGTTTCCCAAATGTTGCTTTAGAATTTCCTCTGCTATGAGTGGATGGATGATTCTGATTGATTCAATGTGCGTCTTTTCATCCCTGAGGTGCAAGAAGACTAGTTTACCCCGGTCACCAAGTGATTCCTCAAACTCATGTTGGCGAAACATTTCCCAGCGAACGGTCAAGCCAAGCAAAGCTTCACAATGGGACTGAGAGATGAACGAGTTTTGAACGTAAGTGTTCAGCAGTGCTACATAGAGAATGAGGGTAGTGACAACATCTTGGCGGTTGATGCCTTGCAGCAAATGTTCCACAAACTGTTGAACATACTTTTCATCGAATCCTTTGCTCATCAAAACAAATGTCAGGATGAAGTCAGGTTCGTATTGTGCCTCAAGCACCTCTCGTTTTCTAGCGAACTTGCGCTTCTCTTGAGCAGACAGCTTGTGAGTGACGGACACATTCTGCAGTGGAGACTCCTTGCATCTTTTCTCCGGATCATGGGAGCGTCTGCAGCTCAACAAAATGAAACACAGAGTTGCATGCTGGATTCTCTTGGTGTTGGTGGCAACCTCCAGTTCATTCTTGAGATCATCTAGGTATTCCTTGTCCGAGTCCTCAATGAGGAGCAGCACAGGGAGACACTTCTGTTGATCTTTTTCTTCATATTCTCTCAGTTCAACTGCATGATGTGCAACAAGAGCGGCTGGGTATGAAGGCTTCACAACTGCACACCTTACACTTTTCCTGTTGTTCCACAGCACCTGTCTTGCGACAGTGCTGCCTCCACTTCCTGGATGATGGTAGATGTTTATACAGTTCACCGGAGTTTGATTGGCATTCGACTTCAAAGCATCATTGACAAAAGTGTAAACTTCCTGATAAGCATCTCTTTCGATGATCTCTTCAACATGCTTGCGATCAGAAAGCCACAAATTCAACCAATTTATTCGACCGCCATGGTAGAACTGCTGGTCAATGTTTGCTTTCTCTTCTTCAATAAATTCTTTGGTTGTTCCATCACAAAGATCAACTGTCAGAATCTCCAGAGAATACATCTTTTCCTCTTCGGTTGTTTCAAGAAGACATGTCCCTTTCACAAACACTGGCAAGTGTTTTTTGGCGGATGCTTCCACGGATTGTACTTGCTGTAGAGTTGAATTAATGTGACTCATTTTCATCCCAACAACACTGGCATTGTTCACACTTTCTGCTCCACATGAGCCCTCTGCAAAGCTTTGCCACTTCTGGAAGTTTTTCTCTGACTCGCAGATGCAGATGATGTCTTCGTGGCCTTCCATGTCTGTGAAAAACTCATAAAAGGTGTGCAAGAGGGGTTTGTCAACCGGTGATGTGAGAAGAAAAACAACCTGGAATATCCCTTTTGGCAAGATTTGTTTACAGATCAAAGACACAGATTCCCTCAGGACAGTCATTTTTGTCTTGATCCAAGTCATTTCATCGCACGTAGTTTCATCTACTTTGAAGTCACTTCGGCCATTACAAAAGATCCAGCTAGTTTGCTCAAACAGATGCAAGTTGCTTGTGAATTCTTTGATGCTCATGTCACCGGATATCCTGTAGCTCTGCAGAGAATGCATGTTTGCAATGTGATGCTGAAGGTACTCACTGCAAAGACCTGAAACCTTTGAGTCTGGGTCAAAGTCAAACACACAGAATATGTTCAAGTTCAGCAGCCATTCAATGTTGCAAAGGTCATCCGGGTTGAATTTGTTTGTGACGAGTATGAACCATTTCCCTTTTTCGATGAATTTCTTCCCAGATGTCATTAGCATTTTGAGTTTTCTTCCGAGGTCTTGGCAGCAGTCTGGGGCACTGAGGAACAGATTATTTTCTGCTTCTTCTCTTTGAGCATCTCGATCTTTCATACGTTCGTGAAAGTCACTGATGTCTTTCTCCATCACCGGTTCGGTCTTTGAACCCACCCTCCGCAGAATCGTTTCTTTCTCAAAATGTACTTTATTGGTTGCCTCTGCGAATTTTGGCAGACAAACTCTATACACTTTGTTCTTAACAATACTTATGGAAGGCACAATGTCAACCTCTACCACGTACATCTTTTCTGTACTTTCTCGATCCACAACCTCAATAAACCTTGGTGGCCGTACACACTCACGTACGTGGTCCCTGCCAGAAGAGAAACTCCTTTCGATGTAGTCCAAAGCGTCGACATAAATGTCTTTCTCTTGAACAGGGATACCAATTATCTCACCATGCACATATCCTACGTCGTCCTTGCTGTCCATCACACCAAAGTGTATTGTGCCATTTGATCTGATATTCATACAGCCAGTTGCAAATTTAAGGACCTCTCCGGCAAACTTAGCCTGAAGTCTTGTACGATCCAATTTAGTAGCTGTGGCTAAAGATTTAAATTCATGGCATGGAGATATCAGATTAAAAGCACCCGATTCCGGTTGCAGGACTCTGTGCTTTACGTATATGAAATCAATCCCTTCTTGATCAAACGGTCGTGGTCTGCAGTCTTCTTTTGCAGGGGACACATGTTGTTCCTTACCTGCTGGTCGATTCGTAACGACAGCTTGAGCTTTCTCTGGGAGCTGTGCCAGAGGACCTTCACTTTGAACAGATTTGTTATCAATGTTTTTCTGTTCCAATTCCTTTTTTCCACCACTAGTGGCCTTTTTCTTCACTGGAGACTTTTCCTTGGAGTTGATGAGCTCGTCTCTCTTTTGAATAATTAAATGAGCAGGCCCAAATTTCATGCCAATCTTTGACTTTAAAAAGTTCTCATCTAGTGCAAGAAGGATCTTTCCGTCCACCTCTTCCTCATATAGCTTTTCTATGTACTGCTTCTTCACTCCAATTAATTTTAGCCAGTCGCTTACTTGAGATTCAGTCCAACCCTCAGGTGGCTGCTCATGTCCGTCAGCTGTATAGAGAGAAAATAGATAAATTATTGGTTAGGAATCATTTTGTTTCCAACTTCAGGCGGGTTTGTTGCATTTCACATTTTGTTAACATGTCTGAGGACGGGTCTCTCAATAGTTTAACTCCCTTTTACTTCCCAATCAATGTTATCTAAGGTCTCTTCTGTGTCTGTGTGGGGCGGGGTAAACCAAATGTTGTTTTTAACTTTTTGCATTTCATGGCTGCTTGGACATATTGAACAATGATCATATGTTATCACTATCGATCAATAGGTTGATCACCAAGCCAGTGGCGGTAGATCGCCTGCCTTTGGGAAAAGAAATCACGTTGGGTCACCAGACATGCGATCGACCGCAGGAGCTAACCGAAAACTTGCTAATGCCGATCAGCGATTCTTGATTACTAATGAACGCATTTAAATTTACTCAAAAGCAACCCTGGCTGAGTCCAATCAGTTCAAGTCATCCAGATCCCCATTGATTGGTAGATTGAAAAGTAGCTCGCGAGCCCAGAAGAAGCCCTGACTGCACACTTGGATTGCACTCAAACCCAGTCTTGGTCATTTTCACAAGGTTGTCTTAACAGAATGAATTAGCATTCATTAAAAAAAAAAGAAGAAGACATTTCACTATATGCAGACTACGGTACTACATATGGTACAAATGGTACTGAAGAAAAAGGAATCATCTCTCCACTCACCCATGATTTATTTTGGCTTTACTGTCCCATTATCATCTTTGGCTTCTTCTATTATCATCTTTCATCTGCAAGAGACAGTTAAATACTTAAACCCATGCTCCTTATATTTTTTACAATTTAACACACTAACCTGGTCATAAGTGCTTCAGTTCAGTAATAGTATACTATTACTACTATAATATTTTCAGCTCGAGAATTGCAATGTATGATAAATATATAAACTGAGGATTAATTTACTTGTTATGTTTGCTTATGAAACTTGTTTTGCCGGCAAAACAAAAAACGTTTGCTCTCAAAACAAAAAGCTCTGGTCTAAAAAATAAAAGGAGCTTTAATCTTGACAAAAAAAAAAAACTTTTGGTCTTGGATCAAAAAGCTTTGCGATCGGAGTAATAATAAATAATAAAATAATAAAAGTTAAATATTTAACTGCAAAGTACTAATGCGTGTTTGAAAGCTTTTTTTGTTGCATTGAATCATACTACTGCGGTCAACTCAGCCGACACTCGGATTTCCGTGGTCAACTCACCCGACACTTGAATTTTAGTGCACGTGTATGCTGATATTTACGGTATTGAACAAGTAACCGGAATAAAAGCTGTTTATTCAAATATTCTGGACAACGACTGAAGTATGTGTGTTCATGACCATCCTGACTACTATTGTACAAAAAAAAAACTTTTACTGTACAAAGTTAGATAATTATCCTATATTTAAGTTAGTTCAAAAGGACCACTTCTAAAGTTTGAACTGCAATAAAAATACTTTTCTCAATAATTCCAGTCAAAGACTAACATACATGTGATAAGGACATATCTGACTACTATTGTAAGAAAAGTTAAATATTTTTATTGTACAGATTTGGAGATTTCTTTAAAGTAAAAGCCCTATAATTGCATGTTCAAAAAGACCTTATCTCCATATTTGAAATGCAATAAAACCATTCCAGCCAGGACCAGTGTGCTCATGTTAAGGACCTCTCTGACTACTACCATGCTGAATTTGAAACATTTTTACTGTACAGTTTGAGATTTCTTCAAAGTAAAAGCCCTATAATTTGCACGTTCAAAAGACAGTTTCTCCATGTTTGGACTGCCATAAAAATACATTTTTCAATAGTTCCAGGCCAAGACCAATGTACCTGTGTTAAGGACTATTGTAATGGTCTCCTTGCAGCACTCCCAAAAAAACCTGTTCTAACAAAGACCAAAAAATGTGAGCACATTACACCAATTCTTAAATCTGTACATTGGCTCCCAGTATGTCAGAATTAATTTCAAAATCCTACTGCTCACATATAAATCACTACATGGTTTAGGGCCAAAGTATATCACTGATATGCTTCCACTACATAAGCCTTCAAGATCACAAAGCTCTTCTGACACCAATCTGTTAGTGATTCCCAGAGTAAATACAAATCATGGAAAAGCATCATTTAGTTACTACGCAACAAACCGCTGGAATAAACTTCCTGAAGATTTAAGACTTGCCCCAACTCTAAACCACGTTTAAAACAAGACTGAAAACTTTTATGTTCAGCTTCGCCTTCAAAATTTTACCTACATTGCACATGTAACCTCTGCCTTTAATTAAACAATTTAAATAAGATTTTAATTTATCATTTTATTTGCTCTTCTTAATTGTCTTTTAATTCCTGCATTTTATTTCACTTTATTGTATGAAATGTTATGATGTGAAGCACTTTGAGTCTGCCTTGTGTATGAAAAGCGCAATACAAATAAAATTGCCTTGCCTATCATTGTCTGGAATTTGCTATTTAAATAGCCTTTTTTGGGTTACTTGTGCAATACCGTAAATGTCAGCAAATACGTGCACTAAAATTCAATCGTCGGCTGAGTTGACCAAGGAAATTCGAGTGTCGGCTGAGTTGACCGCAGTATCATACTGGGAGGTTCACTGAAACTGACTGGCTGGACCTACCAAAACAATAAAATCCACCAGCCGCCACTGACTTTAATCGTATTTTCTGTAGAGGGAATAAGTCATTTTAACTAACATTTCATATAAAATCGGTCTACAACTTGTTCTTTTATTAAACTAAACAGCCTCGTTTCTTATGTTATGTAACGTGTCTTCGCGCGTCTTCCCCCCAAAATGGTTCCCGTCCGAACCGTCTCCATTACACACCAAACTCATAAAAACCGGCGGCTGTACATCCGAGATCAGCCGCAGAAACCCGTCCGCCTCACGTTGGGAGGAGATAACGCCGACGTACAAAAAGTGACGTTGTTCCCTGAGCGTACATGTAGGTTATCAAACATGCCCGACTATGCAAAATAACATGACACGAGAACAGAAACAAACAAAAGCACACCAGTGTGCTCACCTTCGAAAGATTCCGATGAGCTGTTTGTTTTCCTCCGGCGTTGTTACAGATGAACGTCTAACGGAGAACTGCAGTAATTTCACTCGAGCTCACTCTTAAAGAATAAGGCGGCACCCACTGCGCATGCGCACATCGCTAGGTTTCGTTTGGGGGGAAATACCATCGACACCAGCACAAGTGGACCCCCCCCCCCACTCACGGAACCGCCCGGCCATTCGGGATCAAACAATTAAAAATGTTTAGCGGTCAAATCATTAAAAAAAAGGATCTCTGGTCAAAGTAGAAATACAACCACAACTTTAACAATACGGTTTTAAAAGTCCTGAATGCAAAAGGGAGAAGTAACAAAAGATGAGGAACTGGTTTTAAAAATAACAGGACTATTTCTGCGCTGGTGTAAGCACAAGCAGTATTTATTCCATATTAGAACAACTCGGATCCCCACAAGTGGAACGGAAATGCAAAAGTGGATTCAATTTACAAAATCATGTAGAAAATGGCAGGTATAAAAAATGGGGACCAATATTTTAAAATATTGTAAAACAGCATTTAAACTTAAGAAAAATAACCAGGGGACAAGCCTAGTGAGTCTGACCGTTGAATTTAACACAGTTCAAACGGGAAGAAAAGAAAGACTAAGTTACCTTTATGACGACATTATTTCAAGTTACACCCCAGGACCATTCCATTGTTAGTGCAGGGGTGTGTGTGTACACCAGACCCCGGCTCAGTACCGCCCTGTGCTGCTCCTCTTTGTGAGAGACTTCTTCATTTAACATGTCTGCTGTCATTTGGAAATGCTACAAAACTTGGGGAGTGACACCATGAACGAAGCAACGCTAAACAATGTTAACCGTCGCCGTAGCTTCTCCTGAACATACGGTCACGCCCTGTGACCACTAAAAGGTGTCCAGCTTCTTCTAGGCACGCCGCTGTTGTCAAATGCATGTCAATATTCCCCCAAGAGCCATTGTGAGATACAATAATCAAAACGAGGAAAATGTTAGTATTAAAAACAAATTTAAAAAAAGTAATGTGCAAGTCAATGACTTCACTTTGACACCCTTAAAAAGTTATGTTAGTTCTGCCACTTGACATCTAAACCTCAAATTTGATTGGTTTGATAATCGCATCAATCCAACGACCGGCTGTAATCAGAAGCCACCCTGAACGGCCTTTGGAACCGTCGCCTCTGACCGAGTCAGCACAATAGATCTTAATCTAATCTTGATTGACAAAGAGAAGCAGTTTAGCAGCATTAACTGGAATCAACAACATTTCGCACAGTTGAATTAAAGACCTGCACCAATGCAGCACGGTTATATAAAAAGAAAAAAAAGGCACATTGGCCACGTTAAGAATGATTCATCATCAATGATCCAATTTTCAGAATCAGTCTATACAAAAATATACATACAGCATCTGTGCAGTGAACAGGCCTCACTCGGAAATACAACATTGCACTATAAAAACATCCAGAACCCCCCCCCCCACAATAGAGGCCACATGTTTTTGGGACAAACACTATTTTTGGACATGCTGTTATAAAATAAAATATTCTCTCTGCTCAGTCCAGCTACAAGATAATGTTCCAACAGCCCCCTGTTGGGTATCCGACCTCCTGGGGGCCGAGGGGACGGTTCGGTTCAGGACACAGTTCCACTCAGGCGAGCAGAAGGCACTTAAACGCGGGCGCAGCCGCTACGCCCGGCCGTGGATCCCAGGCACTGCAGGCCTGGTCCTCACCAGCTCGTGGTGCAGCAACTCTGTCCACTCGTGAAGGCGATGCTCCCATCTGTGCTTGGTGCACCCGACTCTGGCTGGGGGGGGAGACGGGGTGGGGTTCACACCGGTTCGTTCTCCGGTGCGGGTGGAGCTGGCGGTGTGTGCGTCGCAGACAGGCTCAATTCCCTTTGCCCGAGAGGCTCTGTGGGGGATTCTGAGGCAGAGGTGGGGTTCAATGTCTCCCCCTGCAAGTCAGTCTGTGTGGGCAGCTCAGGCTGTGAAGTCTGAACAGGCGAATGCGAGAACGCGGGCCCATCCGGTGAAGTGGCGGGCGCCGTGTGCGGGACCTGCTCCGTGTGCGGGACCTGCTCCGGCTGTGAGGGCGGCGCGGGGACCTGCGGTTGTGAGGACGACGACGACGATGTGTCTGTTGGCAGGTTGCACGGCTCATTTTGTCCGTGCGGCCCGGGTGGGGGGCACTGGGCCCGAATTGCTGCGAGCTGCTCTGCTGTGGAGTAGTAAGGCAGGAACAGCCTCTCCGACACACAGGTGCGCATGGCCCGGTACGTGTGCATTAGCAGGTGGGGGAAGCGGGAGGTGAAGTAGGAGACAAAGTCGTCGGGGATGGAGCCCAGAGTCTCCTGAACCTCCACGGGCAACTCTCGGTAATGATGTTTCTGCCGGGGCGGGAGTTAAAGCGATGAGTAAAACTGCAGAGACGGTGTCTTCTACATACAAAAGCAGGAGTACACATTCCTACCTTGTTTCTCATTGCACGGAGCAGGTCTCGGACTGACCCGCCCTTGTAGGAGCGAAACTTACGCAGGTCTGCAGAAGAAAAAACAAAAACCCATGAGTCAAATCACAGAATGAAATCACTATCCAACAAAGAACCAGTAAACAGGGAATCCTGAGAAGACTCAGCTTCTTCTTCTTCTTTTATTAAGTTTCATGATTTATAAGCAACATTTTAATATGCATTTGAGCCAGTAATTCCATGTTTATATTCCAACTTTATCCTAAATTTTGAAGCACTTGGTAAAGTCAATATTAACATGAGCTCTATGAATGAATCATTGATGATCCTTCAGACATTCAAGGCTTTCCCTGTATATATGTGAACGGCACATGTAACGAACGGCACTGGCTCTATAAATGGCCACATTTGTGCACATTGACATCCACTCTGGCACAGAAAAGTAAGTACAAACATGAGTGCTGGAGCGATCACGAGAAGGATTATGCAAAGAAATGTTAAGGTGCGTCCAACTGTGGGAGTGGAAGTGAGGCATGTGCATACAGAGTACATTGTTTTGGTTGTGACTCAACCCTGTTTTATGCATCTGGCCCTCAGCGTTTGACTTGAATGTGCTTTTCATGTTTTGTAAATGGAGAAGATCAATGTTTTATTTGACACTATTGTGTTATGATATGTAGTATACTTACATGATGATCTCAGATGAGTTTGTTTTCCATTTGAAAAAAACAAAACTATATATCTGAGATTGCCTTTTCTTTATTGGACCAGTAAAGCTAAAGTCCAAAGAGAGCTAGTTACCATGGCGCCATGGTAATAATGCTGACAGTAAGCCGTACTTCCGTTTTACCACTCACCACAATATTTTGTGCCACCAGGAAACAGCAGTCAGTGCGGTTATGAACCTATATAATGTTCAAGCAACTACCTCTAAACTGAAATACTGTCAGAACAGTTTGTGAAATAAGACACTTTAACCCTTTGTTTGAACAAACAAAAGAAACAAAAAGACTCTCTGAACCGCTTCTATTAGTCACACGTGAAGCCAGTGTCCTACCAGTCTGCAGGGGCACTGTGATATGTTCTCTCCAGTCAGCCTTGACAACCGCCCTCCCCCCTCTCTCCAGCTGTCTCACGATTGGTCCGTCCAGCGGTTCCTTTTCTATTCTGTCGCTGACATCCTGCAAGCAACCGGAAAACAAACCACTGTGAGTAATATCAATACTGCGCAGACAGAGTGTGTTTGAGCTGCCCGGGACAGCCGTTTGTTGTTGTCTGTAGAGAGAGCGACCAAAAAAAAAAAAAAAAAACTAGAAGGTTGATTTGTGATTGAAAGGACTTAGTTTTTATACATCCAGCAGCAGAGAGAAGTAATCAGCTGACCTGAAAGAACTGCAGCTCCTTCTCCAGGCTCCAGAAGAAAGGGTGTTTGAGAACGCTCTCAGCTGAGGGCCTCCTATGGGGCTCCATGCTCACCATCTGCTCGATTAGATCTCTTGCTACTATGTCCTCTAAAATGATCGCACAAGGGTGTGATTACACGTCATACACACATACAAGTGGTTGTTTTCTTTAAAAGTTACGATAAGAGCCTTTAATGTTGTGTGGATTTCGGCTGTCTCACCCTCGCTACTCCTCAAGGACTCACCATGTTTGTCGGTTTGCAGATGGTCGAGGCTGTACGTGCCCAGCAGGATGTTTGCTTGCCGCTGCAGAGACTTGCCAAACGGATGGCTTCCCTGAGACACCACGTAGTAGAACACACAACCGGCAGAGAAGATATCCACAGCGCAGGTCTGCATGAGACGACAGAGGAGTCACAAAATGCGTTCATTTAACACCAACGATATTTCCACTGCGGCTTTTCTCCACTCGACTCACCGGGTTGTCTTTGCAGTCCTCACTGAGAACCTCGGGCGCGATCCAGCCCTCGGTGCCCGGCACCCCAGACCTTCTACTGAAACTGTGGCGGCCCACTGCCAGCTTCTTACACAAGCCAAAGTCTGAGATCATGGCCCGGACCCGACCGTGGGCGTTGGGCATGGACACCAGGATGTTGTGAGGTTTCAGGTCTCGGTGGACTGAGGAGGGAAAGCGTGAAGCCGTCAGTTACTTTAGTGGTGTTGATGTCGTTTGGGAATGCAGAACGGGACTGAAATAATAGCAGATACCAATGTTGAGAGAGTGCAGATGGGCCAGTCCAGACATGGTCTGCTGAAGAAGCATCACTGGTTCCAGTCCGTGGCGGTCAAAATCCTTCCTCTCCACATACTGGAGATGAGAGAGCACAGGCAGAGTGGTCATAAGGCATCTCATAATCAAGGCAACACATTTTTTCTGTAGTTTTTGTGCTCTATAAAAAAATAAAAGAGAAAGACTCAAGACTTCGAGTTCAATCGCATACTAATGACTTTCATTATTGGAGGGAAATTAAGCTAAAACTGGGCTGCCATGCTGCTAAGGAACAACCCAAAGTTAATGTCTACAATGTGGTCTATTGAGCCGATAATTACCTCCTGAAGTGAGGCGGCACACAGCTCGATCGCGATGTACTGGAACTGGCGGTCCCTCTCCTTGCAGAAGTAGCGGATGACGTTGGGGTGCTCGTCGGACTCCCTCAGCAGCTGGACCTCACGGTCTGCAAAGCTGAAGCACTCTGGGAGGATTCTCTTAACTGCCACTGCACGGTTGTCAAACTGCCCCCTTGTGGAGAAACAATGGAAAAACATTGTTGTGTTTGTGTCACAAATGAAACAAAAAAGGGTCCCGGGACTAGTTGTCGACCGGTTATTGGGACTTACTTGTACACGATGGTGCCCTCGGCGCCGTGACCCAAGACCTCTCTGGGGCGGAAAGTGACATTGCCCACTCTGACTGTATTAGAGTCCTCCTCTGAAAAAAGAGAATAGATCCACCATATACAATTAAAACTGGGTTCAATCTTTAGTATAATCAAAACGTGGGCTTTCATTCTAAAATCTTCAATATTCACCATCTTCGTGCTCGTTGGCCGAGCTTCCCAGCTCAGACACGGACAGGTTGCTGTGGTTGGAGGCGCGGGGGGTGACATTGGGGCTGCTGTGGTCCGAGCATTCATAGCGATTGTGGGCCCCCTCCAGGTAGTCGCCGTCCGGGGCCATGCCCAGGCCCACGTCCGCAGCGGGGAACGGCTGCTGCCTCTGGAGCAGCTCCAACTTCTCCTCCATCTGTCTCTGGAACTCCTGGTGCTGCAGCTGCTGCTGCTTGTGAACACTCTGTGGCGAGAGAGGAGAGACGGAGAAGTGCGCTCAGCACCTACGTCCAACTGGAGGAGGCCAGTCCGGCTCATGGTCCTCTTCGCCTACATGATTTTCTGCCGTTGCAGGTGGTGTCGTTTGACTCACTTTGGGGTAAGTAATCATAAAGGCCACCCAGCCAGCCAGGAGGAAAGTAGAGAAGATGATGGTGGCCATGTCTTTGAGCATCGAGTCCACCGGAGCCTCTGAACGCACAGTGCGCCCAATGATCGCAGGTTCCTGGATGGAGGTTTTTGGCGAAGGAGAAGGGGGGACATCATCATTCCCCTTCTAGGGGGAAGAGAAGAGGAGGGGTGTAAGAAATGTACGGATGAGACAAAACCATCTCACGGGTCTCTCACACACACACACACACACACACACACACACACACACACACACACACACACACACACACACACACACACACACACACACACACACCTCTTCAACTATCTTGTCAGTAGTCGGTGGGATGACGTTGCCTTGATGGCGAGGGAAGCTGTCGGGGAACTTCTCGAGGATCTTCTTGTGAGCTTCAGGAGGCGTCTCATGATGACCTGAAATGCAGCAGTGGTCTTTTTTAAAAATCACCTTCATCGTCACGACCGTTCACTAAAAAGAAAACACTGCCTTCAGGTTGGATGTTGCGTTACTTGAGCCAGTGCAATATAGTGCGATTCATTCTATTGTCCAGCAGAGGGCACTCAAAGAGCAGGGAACCATTAAAGGCCATGGACTTCAGAATGCGGTTAACAGTACAAGCGGGCGCTTTCGACATACACCAGGGTTCATATGCATTTTAACTAGCGCAGTTACATGACCGTTTAAGGGAATCTTTAATCTTTTTATTTTTAGCAAAACATTGTGCCTGTTCATCTTATAAACAGAGTTAGTAAATCACTGAAAAGTTATTTTTTCTTCAGCAGGAAACCGATGGATTGCCTACTCCAGGTAGGGAATGTGTCCTTACCCCAAGTGAAGGAGTTCAAGTACCTCGGGGTCTTGTTCACGAGTGAGGGGAAGATGGAGTGTGAGTTTGGCCGGAGAATCGGAGCAGCGGGGGCGGTATTGCACTCGCTTTACCGCACCGTTGTAACAAAAAGAGAGCTGAGCCGGAGCAAAGCTCTCGATCTACCGGTCAATCTTCGTTCCTACCCTCACCTTTGGTCATGAAGGATGGGTCATGACCGAAAGAACTAGGTCACGGGTACAAGCGGCCAAAATGGGTTTCCTCAGGAGAGTGGCTGGCGTCTCCCTTAGGGATAGGGTGAGAAGCTCAGCCATTCGCGAGGAGCTCGGAGTAGAGCCGCTGCTCCTTTGCGTCGAACGGAGCCAGTTGAGGTGGTTTGGGCATCTGGTGAGGATGCCCCAGGACTAGGTGGAGAGATTATATCTCTGCACTGGCCTGGGAACGCCTTGGGATCCCCCAGTCAGAGCTGGTAGATGTGGCCCGGGAAAGGGAAGTTTGGGGTCCCCTGCTGGAGCTGTTGCCCCTGCGACCCGACCCCGGATAAGCGGTTGAAAATGGATGGATGGAGTTACATGACCGTACAGTCTCTGCAGCTGTTTATATAGGATTTCTTAAAAAAAATAATAATTTACATTCATTGAATCATCCCAACCCAGCTACAGTAACAACCATTTTACAGAAGTCTTTCCGTGTCAAACCCAACCCCGTTAATCGTTCTTTTTCAGGTGGTGATACTGAAGCCCCCCCCTCACCCACACCAGTTAACCAGACGAAGACATCCCTTGGAGCACTGATGTGGTACCTATGAGGAGCAAGTAGTTCCTCATGAAGTTGATGCGGTTTCGCTCCCGGAGCGCAGCGTTGAACTTGACGCTGGTGCTGGGCGTGATGACACACTCCTTGTCCTCGTCGGTCTCCTGGCTGTCCGGACCCTCCAGCATGGGGAAGGTTCTGCCGCGGGGCTGCGTGCACACACACACATTCCGAAAACCTTTAGGAGATTCAGATTCATTTTCCATCTAACACCAAACATGATTACGTAAAAGCAGCACTAAGAAGGACTTGAGCTCAGGGAGAGAGAAGACGAAACCGAGACAGGACGTAGTCACACTGGAAAGCGCAAACCAAAGATTTAAATCGACTATGAAAAACTACCAAACTGCTTGAATATTTGAATGAGAAATATTTACATATTTCATGTTCATCTAACTGATAATGATGGTGTTTTGCCTACAAGGACGCGATATAGAGCACACTTAACGGTCACTCACCACCACCGTGACTCCATCGTGCACCAGGGAGGGAGAGGCATAAAGACTGGTGGAGTATTTACCCACATACAAAGTGGCCCTAAAAGAAGAAGAAAACGGTTAAACAAAATAAAATACCTATTCCACGCTAAATAAAGAATACGATCTCAGGCACAACACATCGGGGGTGAACATCCACAGCGCCGTAACCACTGAAAGTCCCGTTTGTCCTTTCCAGTAGAAGCAGGTGTGAGCACGATATATAAAAAGAAAACTGAGAAACCACAGCTGAAATTAGGCAGCACACATTGTAAAACGAAGCAAATGCAGATGTTGATATTTTACCCTTTCATTAAGTTATGTCCCTTTCATTGACTGACACTTAAGGTTCCAACACACAGTAAGACATCTTTTCTTAAAAATGGGTCAGGACTCGTCACTCTCGCTCTGCTTACAGGAACTTGTTCTTGGGCTTGTTCTCTTTGGGGAACGGGTACTTCCACTGCGTGATGCGGCCGACCTCTCCCGACATGAAAGTGAGGTAGCGCAGGGTTTCCACGGCGACGTTGGTGTGGGGAACTTTGCGCAGCCCCTCGCGCTGCCAGATGTACATGGCCACCACCGGAGAGTTGTAGTTCTGCACCCACTGCACGTCTCCCGAGTCGCTGTCCACAGTCACCACCAGGCCGTCCCCGTTGGACACGAAGTGAGCGACCTCTGTGTGGGGGGAAGCACAGCGGGCGTTGACCCGTCCGTCCTGCGGGAAACACTGATTGAAAGGAGCCAGCGCGTCCCCGCGGCTTACTGTATTTGGTGTCGTCGTCGGGAAGGGTGGAGGCGTAGTCGGAATAGGTGGCGTTCCAGCGCAACTCTCGGCTCTTTGTGTCGTAGATGGTGATGGTGTACTCTTAGAAAGTGAACAACAGGGGCTTTTTCACGAAAAGGAAAAACACATTGCGTTGCCTTCTTTACACAAAAGCCAGGCCTGGAGTTTCCATTTCTGGGTGTAAATGGGAGGGTTGAATTTCCTTTACATTCCCCCATTTTTTGCAATACAAAGACGCGGTGAAACAAAATCCTGCGTGTGCGTTGTTCGGTGACTACATGAGCTGGGACGGATTTATAACAAGTGTTCAGTTTGCAGGGCTCTTTGTTTACAACGTGTGAGGGAAAGGGGCAGGGGTAGGGGGGGGGGGGGACTTTAAAGCGAGGGAGGGGACAGCAGCAGAAACTACGGGTTTGCCAACAGTTTCGGATTAGATGATGCAAAACAGAGACAGGGTTGTTGACAAGGCCGACTAAAAATCAACAACCAAATGAGATGGGTGCATAATCTGGCAAAGATGAGGCCCGGCTGAAAACAAAAACACGTGTTGCTGGATTGGATTTTTTTTTTTTTTTTACCTGTGCGTCCCAGATAGAGAAGCGACGAAGAGGGACACAACATCTCGGCAAAGGAGGAAGTCAAAGTCTGCTGCTTCTCACCAGTCAACAGGTCCACCACATACCACAGGTCCTGCTTCTTACCTACACACACACACACACACACACACACACACACACACACACACACACACACACACACACACACCCACACACACACACACACACACACACACATACACAGACACACCCCTTATTACAGTATTCAAATAGCTCTTGGCGACAGCCGTTTGTTTCATAATCCTCTCTTAATGATTAAAATAGTGTTTCATTTATGTACGACGGTTATTCGGTCTATAAATTGTTATTATTTATCCTACTCGGTAACACTGTGGAACACCCATTGCACATCTGTTCCCTCTTGAAGATTCATATTGCTGCTTTTTGTCCAAATTAAGGGTGCAATTATGAGCAGCACCCAAAGACATATTTTGGATTTGGAACTGAATTGATCATGTACAGGAAGTTCTCAAATTTGATCTAAAAGGTGCACCTGTACAGATTACGATGTAATGGTTTAACCTTCCCAGTGGTGTGATGGGTGTCACCAGTGAGTCATTAAAAGCACGGACCAATCATGTATCGGCATCTGACCGTTTTTGGCAATGTAGGGAGTGGTACTAATAAACTTGAACAACAACAAACATGAACTGTCTGGCAGCAGCTTTGGTTCAAAGAAAACAAAAGCTTCACTGATGAAGTCTGTGAGGAGGCAAATGTCACCGCTTCCCTTTAAACAATAACAGTCACTACGGTATATTTGCACAGGGCCTCCATCAAAGGTTGTAAATTCAAAAGAGCAGGACCTTTTGGTTTAGAGCAACTGACGGTGGAGGAAGATATGCAGAAGGACACTACACAACAGTGTGTTGGAATCGAAAGACAATAGAAATCCTCCTTTGGGGGGAGTTCGTCTTACCCATGTAAAGGACACCATCGGAGCTGCGGCAGGGAGAAGCTTGGACCAACTCGGGGATAGTGAACGGTAATTTCTGTTTGGTCAAAATGAACGAGGGCACGTTAGGCAACAACCAGACGACAACAGGGGGACAATATACCGTTAACGCGCGGTCGCAACCTCAGAATGAGGGCGCATTTCTTTCAGCATGACTTGTACACACTTGTGTGTGGTGAGGGGACATATTTTTCTGTAGAATAGGGAACCAAAATGCATTTCTCTCAAGGAGAGGAAGAGGAGTATTTCTGCTTACGGTGAGGCCTTCCTTGTTCTTTCCTCCCAGAGAATACAGGCTGCCATCGTTGGGGTCTGGCAGAAAGGCTGGTCTGGAGTAAAGATTCAAGAAAGACAGCGACACATTAGACAAGCTCAACGGGTTGCCGTAGCCGTTTGCATTCATCATCTTCGGTTGTTTAGACAGGTGCGGTGCACAAACTGCAAAGATACGTACTCTGCCACATGCGTGGGGACCTGAAGAACTGGATCTGTGAGGAGAGGAAGAAGAGACACAAGTCAGGACCGACAGGAACGTCGAGCAACCGCCGAGACAGCGGCCAGGAGCTGCAGAGTGACAGGCGGACGGGAACGCGGGTCACAGTCAAGTCCAAAATGGAGAACTGGTTACCCTCGGGAAAAACAAGCACCCCGAAGAGGATCTAAAGAGCGCACATTAGTGCATATCCTCAAAAAAAAGTTAGTCAATCCCCATTGCTAATTATGCATGCAGATAATGCCAATTAGGTTTATTGGCTAAATGATCTTGTTATCGGTTATCGTTAACTCTACTGCAGTCCCACTGTTCTTTTTCTCCCTTGTAAGGGAACACTGGCTTACACTTCATGGTCGAACGAGGAGGCCATCAAACGGCAAACCACAGATGTGCGAGGAACAACTGATGATTATAAATCAAATTAAATGGATCCATTTAAAAACACGGTCAGCCATAATGTACATGGTTAAAACATTACAGCCTAATCTCCATTGTTACTGGACAAACAGACACCTCCCTGCAGTGTGAACATTCAGGGCGGAGACCAGATGGTGCGGATCTCCACACAGGCGCCTGGAGGGGTCAACAAAAGCGCAGGCGTGTGTGTGTGTGTGCGCGCGCGCGCTCGCTTGTAGTTGCAGAAGGTGGTGAGAAACGGGTTCATGGAAATAAGCTAAACACTCGTTGGCCGATTAAACAAACGCACGTTAGCAAATCTGAACGGAAGGCGGGGGGGGCGTCCAGGGGAAAGGATTACTGCTCTCGTCCCGCGTTCTGTGGGTGTACCGGTGCCTCACTGCAGCACAACAACAGGTGTGTGCTGAGCGGCTCCGATGTATATTCAATAGCTCCGAGCCCAGGAGACAGATGGCGGAGGAAGCAGCCACGGCCTCCGATTATTAATCACTTGGAGTGCCAGCCGGAGCTCGCCAGCACAAGTGGGTTCAAAACACGGTAGATTTAATATCTCCTCAAATGTTTTAGTCCTACTAAGAAGGGTGTGATAAAATATGTCTTTAGGTCTGTGAAAGTCTTATCCTATGGAAGGGAAACTACTGGAAAACGGCCACTGTTTTTTCCAGTAACCCTCCAGTGCATCTCATCTAATCGGCAGGTGTACAGCACCTGCATTAACATGGTAACCATAGCGCATGCTGTGTGTGTGCAGGTGTGTGTGTGTGTGTGTGGTGTGTCAGGTGACACTAAAGCGAGGTTGCTTACCCATGCCCACTCTGACCTTGATGACCGGCTATTTTTTCCCCTCTCTCCGTTAATCATTACCCAGTTTCCACAGCTAAAAGAACATCCAGCAGCATATCCTCAGTCTAATCCCAGAAAACATTTCCAACACGTCAATAAGTGTTTCTTGATCACATTAAGAAAGTACATTTCGTTTTTCTTAAACCACGGTCAAGTTAAGATTAGTTTTATTGTTAGGAGTAGCAATCTCATCATGTTTGGGTTCACATTAACATCAGAGTTTACTCTAAAATTAAATCAACAGACCAAGTTAGATAACGACAGACAGCCGTGTGCCATTGACGTCTCACATGTGGCCCGTAGATAAATTAAACCTTTCCGTTGCCGTGTTGTACTAGTGACACTTAGCCGCTGTCCTCTTCCTACCTTCCTTCAGAGTCCATTTGATGGCGCCGGATTTCTTGCTGACGGCGTGGAGGTTCCCGTCCAGCGTGGACACAAAGAGCAGGCTCTCCGGGAGGGAAACCGTGGCGCTGCAGAACCCCTACGGAAACACAACACGACAGTCAAGTGACCATGAATACAACTCTGACATTAGCGAGCGGGCGTGTACGAGCACGCACGCTGCACAGGGGAGGTCAAACATGGGGACTGTGAATAATGACATTATTCAGAGATTGCTGATCCTCACACACACACACACACACACACACACACCTGATCCAAACATGTGATGCAGTTAAAAAAAGGACAGCATTGCCAACTGTGAACGTGGCAGATGACGCTCCATTGTCCGACAGATGGTTTGACCATCGATAGTCAGCGTTTTCAGCCTGAGGCGGTCGGGTTGCCCTTTGGGAGCGAGGCGGCTCGGCCTGCTCTATTAATCAATTCATTTCAAATCAATACCGTACAATGAGAGCTAAAGAGCAAACTACACGGGTGGGGGTGTGGGGGGCGACGAGAGAGGTCGGCCGAGGGGGCGCGCTGCCACGGGTTCAAAGTAGCAGCCGGAGCCCACGGCTGCAACGTGGTGGAAGGTAAACAAGGCGACGTGCGCGTGCTTGGCTTCAACACCCGGCATTCCTCTTAGAGGGCCGAACGGGCTCTTTTTGTGCCGCCACTTCACTCTGCGCAGATGAAGAGTGGGCTGCAACACATGGGAAGTCTTCTGTCCAGAAAGTTTTACTCCCACACGGAAAAACAGGCCACGTGAAAACACTCGGATTGGTTCGTTACGTGATGAAAGAAGACGAGGTGACCAAAGAAAGAAAAAAGGTGTAGTAAATCCTGTAAGAAACAATGGCCTCACAACTTGGCTTATGCCAGAATTAACCACACTCCGGGCGACGCGTGCTCCACTCGCCCACTGTGGAATTCCCTTCGATTACCAAGCCGTGGGGCTTCTTTAGGGGTCTGGCTGAGCGGCCAGGAGGAGGCCGCACTCGTCCCGCTTGCAAATAAATGCGCGCTTCAGTTCATTGCTGCCGTGACAGACGTCAACTTTCTGAATCTACTTTTTAGCGACTAGGTTCTCAGCGTAGGTCTGGCAACCCCCCTTTACCACAAGAAAAGATGAACGGACAAACATCTCTCCTGCTGAAACCAGAGGAGTATTGATCTCCATCACTGACTGACCCCTTTGAACAGCTCCCCCAGGGGAGGGGGGGGGGGGTAGCAGATTATCAATTGCATATGGTACGTGGGGGACGACGTGCCTTGAAGTCACAGCCACCAGAGGCAGTAAGACTGGCCCGAGCGGAGCGAATGACACCAGTGGGCTCTTTGTTCTGATTCACAAAAGCAGAAACGACCCCACGAACCGAAAGTGTTGCACCTTCTACGGAGGCAAACATGCAGCCTGCTGTCGTCTCACATCCTATGCAAGCATTCCTGTCGATATTGTGCACCTGTGACTGTTCCCACTCGCCAGCATGCACACGGGTGTACAGGGAGAATCATAACCGACTTGTTTCCCCCCCCCGACCCCCCTGTGCTCTCTGTCAGGGTTCTCGGTTTCACAGGCAAATGAAATCTTAACATCTGTTGGCCTCCTTGTTCAGGAGAGGACACTGGTATTCATTGACCGTTGAATATTCTGCATCAGGTTATATTTAAAATCGGGGATTCCCGTCCGATTTCCTCACTGTTGTGCAAACGAGTTACGCAATCCTACAGAACCAACGGCTTTGTGGGTTCTGACGTCCTCGCTTCCTCCTCGCCAAAGAACCGGACACAGCGGGGAAAAAAAAAAAAAAAAGGACAGACTCCGATGCACACGATATCCCTGGTAGCGGACTGGAGAGCCGCTGTTCTTCACAGTCCCTCGCATGGCAGGCCAAGCTGAACAGAGGACAGGCTGTAACTGGCAGCCTTCCCACAAGCCATTCAGTAGCACACCTGCATTGTGACCCCGTTGCAGGACACAGTCATCTCTTCAAGACGGGGATGCATTACAAACGCCAGCTATTAGCGCGAGGGGCTCTGGCTTGAACTAGAGCAAAAGCTGCGAACATGCAATCGCTCATCTCAGAGGAGGGAGAGTAGCGTGGGGTAAGTCAGGCAGGACAGAGGGCCTCTTCGTAGGAGACGGACTGGACACACGTAGGGCGGCAGATGTGGAGATGCCGCCACAAGACTGCCACTGACAACATAAGTTGGTGGGAATCCACAGGCAACAATTGTGTGGCTGAACAAAGACGTTCTTTTATCCTCCAGCTCGGGCCGTCCACGCGGTTCGCGCAGGATGCGACGGCAAACGCGAAGAAAACACCGACGAATTGAATGAGTCGGTTTTCAAAATTCTCAGTAGGAAGGAAACCGCGGCCAGTTTGACTAAAAATAACCCGGGTACGAGGTGAACTATAAAGCAGCGGCCTTCGCAGGATCACTTATGTGGGAGGCTTCTGAAAACATTTAAATGAGTCCATCGAGTCGTCAAAGGGACACTAAAAGGCTCCACTGCAGTTTGTCATTAAGAGACAATAAAAGACATATTCGCAGGGTGTCTTCTAGTCTGAGCTCTCCAATGTATTAATTAGGACTTCACTAAAAAAAGGTCACTGTTTTTCCGTTGAAAAGTGGAACACTTCCACCACAAACACATCTGCCGCAATGAGGAGGCTGTTGTCTGCAGAGAAGCGAGCTGCAGACAAAAACCGACACAGGAACCAAGAAGTTCTTATCTCTCACGTTTTAACTTGTCATTGGGAGGTGTCGAGCAAAAACATGCGAGTGATCAGCCAACTTTTTGAAAGGCAATTCAAGAATCCCTGTGTGTACATTGAGGGAGAGGCCGCCTGGAGGACGGCCTGATGATCCACCCACACGGCCGTAGGAAGTAACTTGAGGTTCCCTTTGGGGCTGAATAACGACGAGACAGGCAAACACAAACAGGGAGGTTTAAAGGTACACGACAGGTGAGGAGACATGCCGCGGGGAGGACGACTGTTCAAAGGTAATTGTGTTTCACACTTACGCACACAGCAGCGATGACTTTTCAGACACAGTGGATGCGCATAGTGTGAGAACGACGCCCTTCCTAGACAACCAGACTCCCCACCAGGCAGAGAGGAGCCCGAGACATGATAGGGGATTAAAAGGCTTCTTTAATCTGCTTCTTAGCTGAAGCGGTTTACTTGCCTAGGAGCCAAGATCTCCGCCCGGAGAATTTTAAGCGACCTGGCTCTGGAGTTTGGCCAGTTTAGCCGGCCCGCATTTGTCCCTATTAATAATACCGCGGATCCGGTTCTGTGCCCTCACATGCCATAATAATTAAACTAGATGACAACACATCACTGGCTGATTTATATTCCAGCCTTCGCTCCATCGCTCCTGCTTGCTTCAGATTGCTGGAGAGGTCCAAACAACTGAAGGCCGTACCTCATTGCTTAATTCTCCTGAATTAAAATGTTATTCTCACAGTTTGATGTAAATGAGACTTCGGTTTGAGAGTGACTAAAATGTCAAATATTTATGTCTGTGGACGTCTGTTGACAAAGACAAATATTTCACCAAGCCGCCCACTCGTCCGCCTGGTTTGCCACCTTTGTTTGGGCACAAAGTACCGACTGGTGGGTTTTACGGTCACACAACGAAGTGCAAGCAAAAGGACTTGTGTTCCATCTAGAGAAAAGATAATGAGGGTAAACATGCAAGTAGCAGAAATATTAACATATCAACAATCTTACATCAACACACCAATACAAGCCGGTACGAGCACTTAGTTTCAACAAGTGATATTTTTGTTAAAGTTACTATTTATATGATATTGAGACACTTGAGGGGAGTTGGTGGCATGAAAATAATTAAGGTTGGGGGGGGGGGGTCTTTATTTAAAACAATAACACAAACACAGCAGATTATCATTGTAGCCCAATAGAGATATTGTTTTTTTGTTTTTTGTTTTATTCCTCAAAGCCCAAACCTGAAAGCGGATGGAAGGCTTATGTTTGTTTTATGAACGTTTCCTTCATTTGTTCCCCTGGATTAATTGCGTTAAGTTAATTTTAGGTTTTCACTAAATTAAAAAGAAAGTGCTTTTAGCCAGCAAGCTAGCTTTAATGTTAGCCTCTCACTTGCATCATATCAAGTCACCACGCAGCCCAGAGACGCTAAAGGCTCACTGATCGACACGCGTTTGAGTCACAATAACTAACGTTACTGCAGGAACAAAAAAAATACGCCTGACATTGCGCAAAACGTGCAGTTTAACCGCTAACTCCCGAGCTAAATGTCACCTAACTTAAGCTAGCTCCTCCAGCTAGCCTGTCTCACCTTTTGTGGGAGACCGACCCAGAAGAGCAGCGCACAGAAGCAGCACAGCAGGGCCCGAGTGCCGCTCCGCGTCCGGTCCATGATCTCTGCTCTCGAACCCGCGACACTACAGCCGGTCGGGGCGGCTACATGGGAGACATGTCCCGGCTCGCGGCCACACGTTTACCGAAACGACGGTTTAAACCTGCGCTGTAACGTCAGAGCCATCAGCGGCGGCCGCGGCGCTGGATCCTGCTTCTTCCTGAAGTGAGTGGGCTGGACTCTGGGATGGATTATCCACACGAGTGGAGGAGGAGGGGAGAGGAAGAGGCGGGGCGAGCTGGACATGAACCAATCAGGAGAGCCCCGCAGACACCCGGATGTTGTATAAAGTAGTTCCGGGGCGACATTTTCTGCAGAAGCGCCGTTCCTTGAGAGCACGCGGGCCTGGAAGGACCAGTTGGGCTGCAACGACGCGGTTCATTATGGATAAGAAAGGCTTATTAATGTTTATGTTGTTGAGTGATTATAATGATACTTGACGTAAGCCTGCTGGAAGAATTCCTCCCATTTTGACCTCATTACGGTCCCTCGTGGAGCGATGACTAGGCCGCCTCGGCACGAAAATATGGTAAAAAAAAATGTTTTTAACTACGTTCACATTGCAAATTAAGTGAAATATGTATCCATTGCTTACGATGTTATTTGTCACATGCAGGTCCGGTAGTGATCGTGGATCCACGCCGTGTTTCTGAGGGGATTGCACACCCACACGTGGGCGCAGAGAGATGGCGTCCTCTCACGTGGCCTCATGGAGGTGAGTTTTTATAATTCTGCTTGGTTCTGTTTTACAAATTACCTTGACCCCCCACCCCCCCCCCGAATACCAGCCTTGTGTGTTTTTTGTTTCTCAAAAATAATGTTCACTGAAGATATTTTGTATTTACAGGAAAATGATGCTCGTTGTGGCTGATTTCCTGCACGTGGCAAGACGGTGAGGACCTCAAGTCATCAGAAAGTAGATGTAAATGTTACGGATGATGATCCTAATGCGTTAGACTTCTGATTTCACACTGAAGATACTCTTGATCTGACGTAACTCGGAGCACGTTTCAATGGATGGTTTTTCAATAACAGACTTCACTAAACCGGTTTTTCTTCTGCAGATATGAGGACTGGACAAGCCGGCGTATAATACATGAGGACACCTAGAAGCAGTTTCCTGTATCAACTTCATACATGTTAACTTGTTGGAACTTTTTGAATTAAACAAAATTGTCAACCAGCAGAATCTTGTCATCTTTCCTTCCGCTCATTATGTTTTTGTCAATTGGTTTGTGGCACTAAGTTCTACCTGAGTGGCCTTTCCCTTGTCCATTCACAAAGGTGAAAAGTAGTGCCAGATCACGTCTTGTTATAACTGGAGCTTCTTGGCTATTTCCCAAGTCTCTCTTTTAAAGCAAGAGACAATAACTTATGAGTACAAAAATAGGTGTATGGAATTAGGAACTTCTTTTTTTTAATAAAGGGTCAGCTGACACAACAATGTTGCTGATTCTGTTATGTAATGTGTTTATAACTTCATCCAGGTAGCTATTATGTCTGGTTTATAGGAAAATAAACTACTGTGACAAGTTAAAACTATTTTGCTGGGTTAAGTCCCTAATCTAATGGATTTGTTTATCAAAACTGCGAAGAAATTGCCTAATTTGGTGAAATCCACTCATTGAAAGACTAAAGTATAAACACGTGGTTTTCTAAGAATACCAGTATCAATTCAAATGTTGCAACCACCAAACCTCCCAAGCAAAAGGTTTTATTGATCCACAACAATCTGAATCATGACATTCTGTGACATCACTGAACACTACAGCAATGTTCGATATTTTCATCACTGCAAGTTAACACAAACTTGTGAAATAAAGGGCATGTCAATGACACAATAATGGCACACGCTCTAACCTCAACTGATGCAACAAATGTGGTTCACTACGGAGGAATGTTTATTTAAAAGGCACTTTCTGCCTCATACACTTTGCAAACACATTTGAGCGTAAAATAATAGTTGCCTGTAAAGCAGCCGGCGTCTTGGTGTCATTCCACAGGTACAGAAAGAAAACCAAACGAGTAACTCAACAGGAAAGAGCGTTCATTGGCTGGATGTCTGATGACAACCTTAAATAATATGGCTAATATCCAGTATGTTGACAGTGGAGAATACAATACCATTATTCTGATACTGTACTCATTCACCACCGTTTACTTTTCTCTTCACAGTACTGATAGACTGCTTTGGCAATAGAAAAAAACTGAAAATTATTTATTTATTACTTATGCTCAGCTCTGAATAAAGCAGGAAAAGAAGCATTTTGCGTAGAAGCACGTTGTCAGTGAATGAACAATTCCTTGCGCAGCTACTTTCCTATTTATACATTCATTCTAGGCAATGTTCCGCTGCTGTGTTTGCAGATATGTAGTAGCTCCTCCAAAGTCAGATTTTGCTTTAATCCCGACCATGCGGTCAGAAGGCTGTATGTCATGACGTAGTCCACCCTGGACTCAAACTCAACCAGTGTCTCCAGTGGACACAGCGCCATCGATCTGTTTGCATAAAAATGTGTGTGTGTGTGTGTGTGTGTGTACGGGAGTGTACTGTGGAATGTGTGTCAATAGATGCGAGTACTCTCGGCAAACTCATTTCCAAATTTTGGGATTATTCCCTCAGAAGATTAGAAAGGTCGGTGAAAAACGTAAATGTTTTGGTTCGGCTGTACATCACAGGTATTATGGTTTTATGGTTCTTCCGGTCCGATGATTGAATGAACCTGATGGCTTTTTGTCGATGCACCACCCGCGCGCCCGCGTTCGTTAAATGGTCTCGACATGCCCCGTGTATTGTATTTCGTCAGAGAATGATTCATAACATTTGAGTCACACAAATAAAGCTGTGTGATTGGATGACAATCGATGAGTCACAATCTTTTCCTCCGTTTTCCTGCTCTTAGTTGCCACGGATGATCACGAGTTCATAGACACTTCCAGTCTTGTGAGCCTTGTCAAGATCGGGGCTGGAACAGGAGTAAAAATATTGGGAGAGTTGGTCCAGCACGTCTCTGGGAGGGACGGGGGGTCTTTTCACATCACCATGGCGATAATACGTCTGCCATTATGCAACAGCAGTCTTCACATGTCAGAGACCTCGGACTCCTCGGGTTCTGGGTCCTTCGAACTTTCATTTGTCACAGTAACCAAGTTGGCGTTTGAACGCGTGTCCATGGCAGAGTGCATTATGGGTAGCCATAGATCATCCATGTTTGGCATCACAAATATTTTCTGTGGGAGGACAAGCAGAGGAAAGAAGCAAAGCCATCATCTACTACTCCTCTTCAAAAGCTGTCTAGTGAAGCAAAAGGGAAGGAACTACAAATTAATATACTTTTGTAACATGTAACAACTTAAAACATAAGCGTAATAAAAATTGGAGAAAAATAGACAAGGCAGAAATACATCGTCCCCTGGCTATCCAACCCCACAATGTTATGTCTGGGAGCCAATGAGTGTGGGCATTTGTTGAAAGCCACGTGCATACACTTACTCACAAATGACAACAGTGAAGGCTGCAGCAGTGTGTTTTACTGGTGAAACGGTTTAGGCGGATGGTGCATAATAATAATAACCCCCCTGAGGAGTCTGGCAGGGGCAAAGGCAGATGTGTGGTAGACCTGACAGGGATAGTAGCTTGCAGGTGTAGGCAATTATCTAGAGGCAGGCGTGTCATTACATTGGATCTATGTGCATGAGGGGTGGGAAAGCCACAGGCACACTGCTTTGAAGTGCATGTAAGTGGTCATAAATTAATCCCAAAGTTGTCTTTTATTATCTAAATCCTCACGCTGAACAGTTAAGCACATTGACTTTGTCCTTGAGGGAACCTTTAGCTTCTCAGTCAAGCAGCTGAGGTCTTTAAACCAGAGCAAATTTAATAAACGCCAAGAGATGCAACATCACTTACTAACTTAATCAGCAATGCAAAGAAATTATATTCATGATGAGTCAGTTTGCGTTTTTCAGTGTTTACCTGGAATTCCTGATTGAGCTTCTTCTCAATCCAGTCAGTCACGTGAACTAAAGTGACCTCCCTCTCGCCGAGTTTAGGTCGTGCTTTCAGCTCCAGGTGAGGCGGACTCCGAAAACCATACCTGAGAACCAAGAAACATTCACGTGTAAAAAGGACATCATCTCACTCAAGCTGTAAAACAGCTTGTTCATTACATCGAGGAAATGTGTGACAAACAATCAAAAAAATATTATCATTTTTGACTAAGATAGAAGTTCATCATAAATCAAGCTTATAAAGCACACAGTGTCTACTTAAAGATAAAATATAGCACATCTTTAATTAAATACACCGTTTTGTACGCTGATTTCACCTTCATTGTTCTTAAACATTTATATTCTTTAATTGTATGCATGTCTGTATTTTCCCAGCAGGGGGCGTTGAGTTGCATTCTCAAACCAGGATCCTCATTAACTTCATCCTCCAGTCATCAACGCACTGCTCCCTGAAAGTGAACTCACCATATCCTGTCCGTGGGGGGAGGCGGGATGTTGACAGCCAGCGTCCCTCGCAACTCTTGCACCTCCACGGTGAGCAGCAGGGGCGTGTTGGACACCTCCTCCATCTTCTTCTTGATGAACTCCGTCTCGGTGGCCTTCTGGAAATACTTGGACTTGGCTATTTTGTCCACGAAGCGCATGATCTTGCTGGGCCTGTGGCCTCCCACGTAGCTACGTGAGCAGAGGATGGGAGTGGAGGAGGAGGAGGAGGAGGGGAGGCAAGGAGTGAGTCAGGTTCATTATTTATTCACAGCAGCATCTCTCGCTACTCAGCGCCCACGGCGGAGGGGCGTGACCGGGGCGCTGCGTTGAATCAGCAGCAAGCTTGCCCAACGTGTGTGGGAACGAGGGCTGAACAGTTTGCTTCAACACATTAGTGTAAATCTGTATCTGCTCCTTTTTTTTAACTCAAGACACGGGGGGGGGATGCTGTTGCAACGAGACATTCGCTCACCCCTCGGCTCCCGGGAGAATGGCTTTGTCACTGAGGAGTTCTGGGGGGTCCTCCTCATCGGAGGAGCCGGCACTAGACGATTCCTCATCGCTGTCGGCCAGACAGTATGTCCGCGGCCTGGGCCTGCCTCAGACACACACACACACATGCGCACAATCCGCACGCACACACAAAGACGGAACGAGCAACAGTTAAAAAACGTAAACGCATTTCTACTGATTAAAATCACAGGAAATGTGTGTGTCAAATGATTCACGCAAGAAAATAAACTGTAATCTAGATATTTGGAAACATGCGCCCAAACTCACCAGCCATTGGACAAATCCACAGAGGTATGCGTCCAGAGAGATGATTCGTACATCAAGGGGAAAAGAGGTGTAACAGAAACATAGTAAGAAGAAGAAATGATGAAAAAGCACATCTAACTAATGCAAGCTCAATTAACATCTCAGCTGCTGATAACTGCTCAGAATAGTCCTTTAGTCACTGAGAATGTATTAAAAGGCAATGAAAACACCTCTACAGGGAGCCACTCTCTACAATCTTTTAAAATCAGCTTTGTTGCTAAGTGTCCTTGAATGCCTCACCACTCTTTCCCGTGCTCGCCGAGCCCCTCGCCCTCCTTCCCCAGACGGGCCAGGTTCATCTTGGTCTCCAGTGTCATGAGGAAGGAGCCCATGTAGGAGACCTCCAGATCAAACCACAGACCTGGACACGTAGTGAGGGAACCCGTAAGGACGTAATCACACAACCAGTATTAAAATCACTTCACATCCCCGTCAAAAGTGACCATCTCTAAATGTTTTCTCTGTGAACAACTGAGAAGCTCCTGCCTGGCGTCTAAATCCCCTGCACATCTGTCAGGAGGAGGTCCTGGCTTCTAGCAGACACTGAAAAGGTCAGCGCATGACTATCAGGCTACTTCCTGTTTGTGCACTTCTAAGGAAGCGACGGGGGGGGGGTGATTTAGACTCAGACCCCCGCTCGCTGTTGGCTTAATGAGCCCTAACATCTATGGCTGAAAAGTGTTTCCTTTTCCACACGAACGCTCATTGACCTGAAGCAGTGTGGCAGCAGCCTCAAAGAGAAGCTAAATGACAGCATTAAGCCAGAAGATGTCAGGCGTCCTCTAGTTGTTTCTGGTCAGAACGAGACACACTGTCCCGAATGCCTGATTCATTTCATATTGTACCAGAACCACGGACCAAATGCGTGTGTCTCTCACTGATCGCATAATATAAGTTATTGCCTAACATCAAAGTTATTGCAATATTGTACAATTATGGACAAACATCTTCCGTCTCTTTCTCACCTTCTGCTTAGACCATCCTCACTCAAACCATCTAATATTCTCTCTTGACATGTTCACGCTCACAACATGATGGACCCTCCTGATGTTATCCAATATAAATATATTCATTTTGACTCAATGCTTCCGGCTATTTGCTTCACTATAACGGTTTCTCTTTAAAAACCACTTTAAAGCTCTACGCAAGCTTGTGTGCATTCAGTAGGCCCCGTGAATCAAATCATGTCCTCTCAACATTAAGGAGTCAGGAAGCACTCACACGCTGTCTTTCTTATCACCATCACAGTAGAAAAGCAAACATGAACAGGATATGAAATTAGGAATGTTACTATCGAAGCAAATTCAGACTTAACGCAGTAATGAACATTGCACACTCAGATAAATAGTGAATACTTCAAATGAATAGTATAACATTTTCAATGCTTTCATACCTTTACACGGAAAACACAATCAGACAAAACCATCTTTGGACAAATCCTGATTGTTTCAAATCCACGCACTGCAACCTACTCATCGCACACATTCAATTTCAAGGAAGAAATCTGCCCCTTTGTTCGTCTCTCCGCTAAAGCACCAGTACTGATTAAAACACAACTCCAACAACATCATCCCTTCTTTTTCCTTTCTTAAGATCCCCTTTCCTCTCTTTCTCTCCCCATCCTGCAACCTGCGTAGGAATTCATTTGCTTCACATCTCTCTGTTATTTCTACATCTCTGTAAGGTTCAAGGCAGGCGGGCAGGGTGAGTCCCAAGACGTGAAGTTTAATTACTGTGGCATAATAGAGGGAGACACGCACGGGGGCTCGATTCCAGAGCAGGGAGGGAGGGTTGGGTGGAAGAAGAAATGTCTGAGTCTAGAGGGAAGAGAAGCAAAGATAAGGAAAGACGGAGGAATGGTAAGAGAGGGAGGTGGACCAGATGGATGGATTGGTAAAAAATTGAAAAATGAGAGAATGTCTAACTATTATGTCACAAAGGCAAGAGAAATAACAGATAAAGCCCGGGTTGGGCTGAAGGATGGAGGACGGTAGGAGAAGAGCTAGAGGATGATGGCAGGCAAATGAGAAACTGTGGGATGTAGCAGACCACAGCCGTGTGGAAAACATGCCCTTCCTACCTTGGTGGTCAACAGAGGGTTTGGAGGCATGGAGGATCTTTGGGATGGAAAAGCCCATGTCTAGCTCTGTCAAAGTCAGCTCATTCATAACATATGGCAGCTGTAAACACAGAAGTGTTAAGCGTTAAAAACATTTTGACTTGTGACTTTGACACAAACTTGCACATTCAGCGGATCTCATTGGACAAACACTTTTCTGGTAGTAGATGAATGTTTATGGAAGCTAGCACCATTACGCACCCTGATCTTACTGAGCTTCATCTGGATCTTTTTGGACACTACATTGGCCCAGTATTTCTCTCCCAGGAAGTCCCAGAATATCCTTCCCACGAAAGCGTTGACCCAGGCCTCAGGCTCCACAGGCTCCACAGGCTCCTCCGGCGTCCTCTGTACCTAAAGGACACACATACGGATATGTGCTGAAGCTTGGACCTTCTTGACTTGAGCTAAAAGGTTTGAGTAAAGTAAAATAGCAGTCAAGATGAGGCTCTTATGACCTAATGAGTACAAATGCACAATATATGAACACGTTAAGATATTGAATTGATCAAAAAGTTGAATGGTCTGACTGATGGTCTGTCCGGCCAAAGCAGCAGTAGTAGCTATTAGCTATTTAGCGTGAGTGAGGCCCTTCCATGCCACGGCTTTCCTTGACATGCCAGATTGGATGTCACAATCCAGGCAACAAAACAAGGGGGTTTCGATTTGTCTCCTACCTTTTTTGCAGTTTTGGGGCTGCTCTCCGGGCTCGCTGGCCCGGGGCTGTCAGTGGCAGTCGGGGTTCTCTGTGTCTCCTGCAGGTTGATATATTTGGCCATGTAGACATTATAGTCCAACAGCATCTTCTGCCTCGTCCCTCCGGCGGAGCCACAGGGGGGCGCGGAGGAGGCCTCTCTGTGGCGAAACTGAGAAAGCTCCTCCAGGCTCCCACGGCTGCTGCTCCTGCTCTCGGCCTCCAGGCCGCCGCCAGATTGGATGCTGCTACTGCGGCTGTTGGAGGGCAAGAGGGCTAAAAGTGAAGGGGGTGGGAAGGTGAGAGGGAAGGGGGGAGGAGGGGCGGGGTGCAGGATGGGATGAGTGGGTTAATGCGATACAATTGTGCATATTAAAATCAATGCATCATATTCCACATACATAATGCATGATCAAGTCCTTGGATGGGGCGCCTCGTCAGCATGCAGCACACGGCATCTTCCGACTCTTATTAGCACCGGAAATGGTCCTTTTCAACATAATTGCTATGTACAGTATATCCACAAAACAGGCCTGATATTTAAATCATCCCTCCAAGTAATCCTGTTCGCCCGACATTGCCTTTTATCGCTAGACCTACACGCCGCAAGCGTTGGCCTTTGAATTGGCCATTATCCTCGCAGGCTTATATCCCACAGCGGAGACCAGTACTGTACTATGCTGCTTCGCTGTGCATGTAATCCTGCTGACCCATTCACACTCGTCTGTTCACTAGTTGAGGGGATTGTCGCTCCCTAAGCCGGGGCTTATGCACACATCTGATGGCTGTGCAGTTACATACTCTTGGCTATTATTATTCCATCATATTTCTGGCTGTTTGCGTCTCGGTGGGCCACCCCGTACTCACCACTCTTGCAGATGACAGACAGGCTTCCACTTCTCCCCTCGGACTTCATTCGGGACGCCAGAAGAAATCTGCGGAACCACTCCTCCTTTTCCCGACCCGTCCTCCCAAACAGGTAGATTGTCAGATCCCCCCCTCCGGAGGCCGGCCTTTTGGGTTCCTCCGCTGATCCCGATGCCTCGACTTTCTCACATTTGTCCGTTCGCTCCAGCTTCTCGCACTGCCCCGGTAATTTCTCCTCGCAAGCGTCGGGCTTCTCCAACTGGGTCTTGGACATAAAGTCCTCCTGCTTAGATAGCTCGATGCAAATGGGGTATTTTTTGTTCCAAACCCTCTTCCTGGCCAGGCTTTGGGGCACCAGGTTGATCTGTGGTGGACATATGGATTGAGATCATACCATCAGACGCGTTGAAAGCGAGTGCTTTGTTGTAGGACATTTAGGACAAACAAAGAAGAAACTACAAATATAATGTAACAGCATTGCCCCGAGGTGGCGAAAGCTTAAAACAGGCCATGACTCACCTCTTTATAATTCACACTGTGTTGTGTTGTATTTTACTGTCAATTGGACCATCATTTAGTCAATTAACATCATGCTGTATTGGAGAAGACTTGAAACTACCCACGGAGAACATAAACTGCAAATGTTTTCAATATTCCCTGGGGGGTAATAAATCAAGTGAGAAGCGGCGTACCGGTCATTCAGGAATGGGCCCCGATGCAAGTTCAAGGCCCGTCAGCCCTCCTGGGTGTAGCCATGTTGTACTGTAGTATAAAAGGAGGTGCTGCGACTACAAATGTAGGTAACATTCAAAACACACTCCGCATCCACAATAATGATGTAGAAAGGACCCTTTGGGGAGCCATTGAGCTCCAGGAGGAGAAGAGAAGCACGATGAAGACAGCAGGAGTGACTCCTTATGCTTCACGGTATTAGAAAGGCCTGCTTACTGCCTTCAGAGATACAAACCCATCGGGTCGTCTCCCTGCTTCACCAGACAGAAAGTTGTGTGTACAGGGTCAGTGACCGGTGATATTCACTCCATGTTCAGACACACTGTGGGACGCTGAAAACGAGCAGCTTTGCCACTGAACTTGACCTACTAGCAAACACGCACTCAGGCAAAAGCAAATACGAGGGGACGTGGGCTTGATGTGACCGTCTGTAAGGCTCAACATCAAAGACACAAATACACCGAGGGGTCAGCAGAGACACACAAACTTAACATCTGTCCTCCCCACACACACACACACACACACACACACACATTTAAGTTCCCCTCTCGCATTTCTCACTGGCCACGTGCAACCACGACCAGCGCACCTTGCTGTCGGTCAGGTCGTAGATCTTCTGGCTGACGTAGGTGACGTCGGGTTTAGGCTCGTTGTGCGTGGCGCGGCGGGAGACGTTGCGGTTGGGCTTGGACAGACGCAGGACGGAGCCCTCCAGACGGACGTACACGGAGTGGGTCAGGGTGGCGTGGTACATCTCCGGGTCGTAACTGTGGATCTCATTCATCTAGCCCTGAGGGGTTTGAAGGTGGAGGAGAAAGGGTGGAGTGTTAATTCACAGGGGGCGTAAACACATAACATCACATGCGGCTTTCCCTGTAATGATATTTTGTGTTACTAATCGGCCCACACAGACGCTAAAAACCAATATGTTGACGATTACGTCATATCACAAGGTATCGTAGGGCTCACCTCTTAAAAAAATGAATACCGGAATACAACTGTCAATCAATCTTCTTGTAGTATATTTCACAATGAGCAGCACAATGACCTCAGCAGTTGCAGCGCCACTAAGTTCACACAACGCAACAAAAGAGTGTATCGTTGTCTGCACAAGCTCTTCTTCTGGGATCGCTGTGCCCTCTATGAGGCTTGGTACCCAAACGCACACACACACACACACGCTTACATAACTCCCTCAGCAGCTCTGAGTGAGGTTAAGTGTGAACAAGGGGCAAATGTTGCGTTAGCAGTTCTCAGTCAAATGTCAGGTTCAAAGCAGCCATCACCGGCGGAAAGGTGTAATAAAACCCAGTATGTTAATGCTGGTTCCCCTGAGGCTGCATAGACTTTAATTCTCATCCAACCTCCCACTTGATCAGTGCTCAAAGAGGCCCTGTGAGCAAAGCCAATTTCATTGAAACAACAGGGAATATCTCATTGCTTGTTTCTAGTGCGAAAGCAAAATACAAATAAAAGGGACATCAATCCGAAACTACAATAATTCAGCTTATGCTGAAGAGTAAAACGACACGGCACGGTAAGATATAACAGACGCTGTGAGCTACAAGTGTAAACGCTGTAAGACCAACGCTGCTTTTCACATGTTTCCGTGTTGCCATGGCAATGTTATATTGGTCACAAATAATAATCATATCATTTTATGTAATTATTCCAGCTTTGCATGTTGCTATAAAATGAATCTCCTTCTTAATATTATTATACAACAAACTACAACCACCTTCTCCAGTTTAAACGCTGGGGACAACAAATATTTAGAATATCTGAGCTCTTGACGCATTGCCATCTAGCGTTACCTTTGCCCGGCATTCTCTGCCAGACCAAACTTCTGCACTCGTCCTCTGATAAATGAGTATCCTGTATGAGGATAACCTTCACACGTGACGAGAGCATCAACATGTAACAGATTATACTGACTCTTGGCTGTATAGAACTTTGTGATTAATGCATGTTTGCCTTCACATTTGTGACCGTCTGATAAATATGGGCAATGAATGCATCTAAAAAATGGAATTAATTATGCTGCAGTTATGCTATCAATATGTTTGTACTAGCCCTCGAGCCAGTGAATCAAGGGCACCCGCTGCTCTTTGAAGAGTTTTGATGTCGCATAGCAACAGCTGCGAACCATGCCGAGCTTGGTCTCACCTTGAAGGTTCCCGGTTCCTTGATATCCAGCTGGGCCACGTTCCAGGGCTTCATCCTCCGCCTCCCTCTTGTTGTCGCTGACGAGGAGCGCCGAGGAGAGGACAGCCAGAGGACCAGCAAGGCCAGCATGAACCCGGCGACTATCCCGTGCACCACCGCACACATGTACGGAGGCACTGGTAGAACTATGTACCAGTAGACCAACTGTGTCAGGAAGATGAGGCCGGTGACTGGCACAGCCTCCGCCTCCTCTTCCTCCTCCTCCTCCTCCTCCTCTGTGTCAAGTTCACTACACAGCCCGGTGCTACCAGCGCGGGGCTGCCGGGAGGCGGGACGGTCCCCGTCTGGCGTTTCCGTATCGGTGCACAACTCAAAGTCTTCGCTGTACAGTTCACAGAAGTCCTCGTCTTCCTGTCGGGCCACCAGGGCCGACATGGAGCAGCGGCCCAGAGTGAGGGAAGGGGATTTGGGGAAAGTGAACGACGGGGCCCGGGTGAGGGTCGTGGCTGGCGCCAGCGACGGAAAGGAGAGAAAAACTGAGTCGGGACCCTTCCCGGCGGGGCCGCCGCCGTCCTCCTCCACCCCTTCCTCCTCCTTGATGCTGTAGCTGTTGGTACCTTCCGCGTGTCCGTTTACCGCCGTCCCTCCGCTGAGCTCCGACGCGCTGGAGGACAGCGATTTGGCTCGATGAGTGGCGACGGCTCCCGCACCGGACTCGTCCCCCATGATCTTACTGAAAAGCTGCAGCGGGTCCGACATCACCTCCGACAGCCGTCGCTTGGTGTCCTCTATCCTGGCCTCCACCTCTTGGACCTTGAAGAAAGACCTGCCATCTGGGGAGGTGATGGGCGAGGAGGGCGCCGTTTTGGAGTCTCCGCCTGCCTGTGTGACGATGACGGGGCTGGAGCACAAGCGGGGCTGGGAGAACTGTTTGAAGAGCTGCATGTTGCGAGGTGGAGGCCGCTGGGACGGCTGCTGGTGAGGGGAGTGATGGAGATAGTGGTGAAGAGGCCCCTCCTGGTGTTCAGCCTTCGATGTGTCCGTGGAAAGAGACTTAACAAAAGATTTCATCAGGTGACGGTGGCGCGCCTGCGAGGGTGCGGCGGCGGCGGGAGCAGGAGCGGTTTCCCGGGACTCGACCTCATTGGACAGGGACCGGACGAGGCTGAGGAAAGGCTTGGAGGACGACAGCGCGGCAGACTTGCAGGGGGAGGAGGAGCCGGAGCTCGTGGACGGGGGATTGGCCGAGGGTCGTTCGGAGGGCCAGGAGGAGCTGGCGGGAGGGTTGGAGCTCAGGTGGGGCTGCGTGGAGCTGGGGATGATAGTTATAGCTGGGGAGGGTGAGTGTGGGTCCGAGGGCCGCACCGACAATGTGGTGGATGAGACGGGGAGTACAGCAGCTCCGAAGGAGGTCTCGCCACCTGCAGGTACAAACCGCAGATCCTCTCCGGCCTCCAGGCCCGTGGCGACGGACCGCTCGTCGGCCCCCGCAGCCTCCAGACCTTGAAGACCCCCGCGGCCACCCAGCTCACATTCAGCCCCAGCCGATCCGAGAGGCGCGCCGTAGAGCTCCTCTTCCTCGTCGTCTTCCTCTTTCCCCAGAGCAGAGAAGTGGATGGTGATGGTGTCCCGAGAGAGGGAGCGCTGCACCTGCAGCTTGGGTCCCGGGGCGTGACGGGGGGGAGGAGTGTCAGCATGCTGCCCACTACCCCTGCTGCTGCTGCTGCTGCTGCCCTGACTGCTCATCACCACCCTGCACGAGGCTCACAGCCTGCGGGAGACGAGGAGACGGAAGCAGGACACTCGGTTAACAACCACAGAGACATCGGTAGGGGGGAAAAAACGGAAGTTGACAAACCGCAGCACAAATCAGCAATTTGATTAATTAAATTCATTCCCACATTGTCTGCACAGTCTCCATAACACACACACACACACAACAGGAGAGAACAGGCCAGCAGCTCTCCATTCATTCTAATGTGAGTAGACTGGACAGGTGTGCCGTTGCCCCCCGATCCATTAGCCCTCCTTATGCAAGGCTTCAGCCTGTCTCTGTCTTACCAGCAGCCTACTCACTCACAAACGCCCGCTATCGCAACATGATTAATGGGTGACTTCAGAACACGTGAGCCTGGAGGAGACGGGCCTTCAGCATTTCAGCTGTATTTAAACCCCCCCTCTAGACGGGAGGCAGACTGCAGCTGGCTAAATGCTCCGAGGTGGGGAAGACGAGACAGAAGAAAACAAAAAAAGAAACGATGCTTGTCTAACCTGGCGAATCCAAAAACCACTCTTTGTCCGTATCGAAATATCAATTTGTGCAACTTTAAACGGATTTTATTTCATTCATTTGTACTAATAAAAAATATATATTTTTATAATTGTATATCAATAGCAAAAAGATTGCTCTGATAATGCTCCTTTAATTTCAAGTTGAACATCCAACCGTCATGTATTGCATTATTTCTTTTTATGGGATCGTAAAAAGCATAAACATATACATAAATAAACACAAACCCTCCCCCACCCACACATAACAATTTGCAGGACATGATCACACAACAAAGCAGCTGTGAGGCTCCAGCGATCACGGGAACAAGGCGTCTATTGTTGAGTCTCAACGCGGCGGAACGGCAGTCGCTCATTACCCGGGCGATTCCACGTTAATGAGTTATTGTGCCTGTTTGGTCTTCCACATCGCATTGAGTCCATCATCCACGGTTAGCGCTATCAAAGAGGCAGGGCCAAACACACACACACACACACACACACACACACACACACACACAAAGTCCCTCTGCTTGCACTTGATAGAAGTGTCCCCGTAATGAAAGGAGGAGGGAAACTACAGAGCAGTGAGCTTGTGCGAGCAGAAATGACTCGCCCCATCGGTTGGCTGAGCTTCTGTCAGAGACAAGCTTTTTGGATGGTGGGATTCACTTGAAGGAAACCGGGAGGATGACACAGAGGAGGGGAGGGCCGAAGCGAGGAGAGGAGGGAGGAGACGAGTGAGTGGGGAGACGGAGGTGGGTGCTGTCGTCATGAACGTCTGAAGGACGGATTAAAGCGCGGCGGCGAAGGTCGACAGGGTGAACCAAGGAGGAGGAGACAGGTTTCAGGGAGCGTGCGGACAAAAGACCCCAAATCATGCAAATGTCATCCCGCTGAAACGTCTAGTTCTAAGGTTAAGCAGCGCTGTGTTCCGCTTGGGTCCTTAGCGTCCATTTGTATGCAAAACTGAAAAGGTGACGATGATTTCGACTGAAAGAAAAGCAATCAGCATCCACTTGATGATGTATATATTGTTCATTTTTAAGCACAACTGCAAACTCTTTACTCTCTGGTTCCATGTTTTGTGAATACAAACATGTGGTGCATATCTTTCAAAGCAACTGAACGATAATCTTAAATAAAGGGCTATAAATAAAATTAAAATAAAATCCTTTACTTTTTCTGTTTCACACAACCATTTAGAAGTAACCGATAGCAACGTACAGTAATTTGAATGAACATGCCTCACATACAGCCCAACAAATGATGAGCTGAGCACTAAAGACACGCTGGGAACGTGTCCAGTTTCAGATGGGAGCACACCCACAGTTTTAGTTCTTTCCTCTCCTCGGTGCACCGCTGCCATTAAATGGATCTCAATTAATCAAGGCAAGCAGGGCCACTCTAATCAGCTGGGGCACGGGGGGGAATGAAGGGATGAAGGGATGAAATAAGAGGGCAAAGAGACAGGGGGAACGAACAGGGATGGAACGCAAACACAGCGGACTGACGAGAAAAGCAGAAGATAGAATACAACAAAAAACTACTTTGTGAAAAAAGTGTTTAGGGAATATTATTTCTTATCAAAAAATAGGTCACCTTCCCGGTTCAACTCAACATACATGCAGGCAATTTAAATGTACACGCGTCTTCATCACTGGGCACAGATGGGGAAAGTGGTGCTGATGCGGGGAGAAGAGGAGGGAGGTACACAGTGGAGAGAGATGGAGGTGCATTAATGGTCAACGTGGTTTGTGCTGCCTTCAGCACAATGAGTCTCGCTCTTCTATCAGCCGAACACTGTATTCAACTTTTGAAGAGTGAAGAAGCACACTTAATCGATTTAACCCCTCCAGCTTGTTTTATCCAGTCGGGGTGACAGGTGCTGCAGCAAATCCCATTCGTGCCTTCTTTTCAGTCTCTCTTTCTGCCTGGACACAATATCCCTCCTTTGTGTAGATACACAGTCTCACAACGATTGAGGCCCAGAGGAGCAACCGGGTATTATATTTACAGATTAGGATTGTCAGTGTTGAAGTCAGGAGAAACACGTAGAGGTTCATTGAAGCAAAAGTTTGATATTTTTTGAAAATGTGTTTCACTTTCTGGTGGATGGATGAGAAGCTGGATACTCGATACTGTAAAGTAGGAAGCTACAGCCAGAAATTGGATGTTTTTAACTGCTGCAGGGCATTTTGTTTATTTGTTTCGGTCCTTGGTTCCATTTTGTGGCGCCAATCGTTCTTCCCCCACGGTGGGTTTGGTGTGACGCGCCGCGTGTTACGTCTCTATGATCGATAGCTCGTGCTCAACACCAGGATTAGAGGACATGTCTATTGATTATGAATGAGCTGTTACATCGGTGTGTTTATGAATCCCAGTTTGACCCCACTGAGGTTATAGAGAGATGGGGGGTGAAATGTGAAATGTGAAAGAGAATAAATGAAGATTGTGAAAACAAAGTCTTGCAGCTTTTGAGCATTGAAGTCCTAACATAAAAATATGCAGAAGCAGCAATTTTATCTTTGGTATTCTTCTCTTTGTAAGTCCAACAACAACAATAAATAAGCTAATGTGGCCTAAAGCGGAGCAACACAAATCTAGTAAAGAACCTCCAATCAAGAATTTAGTATTTATTTTCAAAACCAACTCAATGACACCAGTTGAGTCACCAATGACAATGACAATGATGATGATGATGATGAAAAATCTGTGACATTTCTCTTTGTGCTAAGCTAAAAGACATATGTGTACAGGTTTAAATGCGTGGATAAATGCCAATGACTCAACAGTTACTGTTTTTCCTGCCTCTGATGGAAATGACACACTTACATCTTTGCAATGACGAGGACAACGTGGGCTGCAATGTCCATGCCAGGCCACCGAAATCTCTGCCGGGCCCAAAAGGAACGGATAGTTCTCCTTAAGTAACAGGGTGCTGATGTGATCTGATGCGTCAGCGAGCGTCGAGGACAGAGCGACGTGACCTCCGCTGAAGGACGTGAACTTAGGGACCACCAAGGGAGGATCAAACAGGAAAGTAAAAACGAGGAGGGGTGAATGGTGGCGTCAGGAGCATACTGAGCAGATGGCCGTGTGAAAAATGGGGCAGGAGGGAGATGGAGAGCGAGTCGAGGAAGGAAACAAGTCGGCGAGGCAGTAAAAGGGGACGGGTGACAGGGGGGAGATTTGATCGGGTGAGACAGAGAGATTCAGGATGAGCACAGGATGCACACACACACACACACACACACACAGAAAGAGAAAGGCTGGTAGAGCAGTTGATGTCACTAACACACACACATTTACTCACCAACAAGCACGCACACAGAAAGGAGCTCCTTGGTCCCGTGACGTGTGCAGTTGCCTGGATGTGCATGAACGCAAACAAAAGTGACACAAAAGGGGGGAGCGGAGGAGCAGAGGAGCCGGGTAACGAGCAGAGAGCACCTGACGCAGAGGAAGACAAATAGAAGAAGACACAATGGCTAGGGGACATTACACACAGCAGACCGCCTCCAGGTCAACTCTGCACAGGCCTTGTCTCCTGCACCTCCACCGTCATCACCAGCGCCATGGTCATACCACACACACACACACTGTGCACGTGTATTTGTAAATGTACCGTAATACGACGACCATCTCACCAGAATATATTCATTTAACTAACAGAGAAGACAAAAATATTTACATTTGGGAAACTGGAGCCAGTGAATTGTTGTCATTTCAATGATAAAGTGTATAAAATGCCTACCTACTAATTAATGTAAAGCTAATGCCATTTGACTTGTTCTATCGGCTCATTTCCCATCAGCTCGTATTGAATTCCGTGCAATAAAACATTTAAATAGGAAAATTTCAAAGAAAATTGGATTCCCCAGCCAGCCTTTACGGACCGTTTGGGCGGAGCAGCTCCAGTACGGGACTCCATCATTACAAAGAGGCAGTAAACAACACTGACACCATTACTGTGTGACGCGTCAATACGCCCGCTGGAACAATTTATTTCTGTGACAGCGACAGACCTCGAGCCTCCGGATGCACACGTGAACGCACCAAACTGCAACACAACGCAGTGCTCAGCCCATCGACCGGCAGCGTCCGAGCAGCGCGGCAACGGAAACTCACAACGAAGAGGAGTCGAAATAAAACGACAGTAAAACAACAGCCGGGGAGATGAAGAGCACTCACGCAGCTCGGCTGGATCAGACCGGTTATCTTCGCCCCTCCGTCTCTAACCCAGAATCCAGCGGCAAACATCAAACCCTGCCGTGCAGATCGGCTGGTGGTTGCCATGCCAACGGTGATGCTTTCATCTTTTTTTTTTTCTTTCTCCACACTCATCCCCGCGTCCTTTTGTTCGCCATGGCAGTTCCCTCCACACTTCACAAACCCTGGTCTCCCCGGAGTGCGTGGAGTGTTTGTTCAAATCTTCAGTGAACGGTTCTCAGTGTGTGTGTGTGTGTGTGTGTGTG